TACTTTATTAACAATATTAATGTATAATTAAAATTTAATTAACAATTAATTTTTAATTTTATATTAATTAATATTAGTAATACTTAAATTTTATTAATATCTAATAGAAATGAATAATAATTAATATTAATGAGAGCTATAATTGGTAAAAATGACAAATAAGGTACCAAAATACTTTTCCAAGCAATTTTTTCATAAGTTAGCTTATGTACATTCAAACGTATATTATGTGTACAAAAAATAAGTTAACTTATTTTTACCAAACAATATTTAAAAGATGGACGGTTCACACCATTTTCTTTAAATAGAAAAGTCAATAACAAAAAAAAAGTAATAAATAAAAGTTTGTTGATATTGATATTTTGGTGTATTTTTTAAGTTATGTTAAAATATTAATAATCTAATAATTAAAGATTTATAATTTTAATAAATATAAATTTATATATTTTTGTATACTTAATACTAAAAATGGAATAAAAAAATATATGTTTTATGGTAAAAAAAATTTACAATTTCATTGTTTATATTTAAAAAAATACGAAATTATTGGATAGAAAGGGCGATGATAAAGAGCGGACGACAATGGGACGATGAGAAAGGGCGATGAAATTGGATACGAGGGGTAACAACGATGTAGGATACTGGGATTTGGGAACGCTGAAACTGATATAGGCTTTTTTTTTTGTCCCTACAGTTTGCTAAAACTTGTTATTTTTGTCTTTATATTTTTGAAATTACAATTTCAGTCCTTATAATTTATAATTGTTTGTTATTTTCATCCTTATGATTTATAGTTTATTGTTGTTTTCATTCTTGTGGTTTATAATTTCATTGGTATTTTAACTCCTCATACTTAAAAGTAGGAGTTAGGGGTTGCTTATCGTATTTTTTTATTAAGTCATGTATGAATTAGTTGGTTTGTCTGTATAAATTTATCTGTTCGAATAAAAATATATTGTTGTTTCATTTTTTTCTGAATCAGTAGTCTGAAGGTAAATTTTGGGGCTGAATTTGGACAAATGACCTATTTGGATTGTGCGAATAAGCCTACATATTTTTCATTAAGCTGCAAGTAAACATCTCAGAACATTTGTCTAAATAAGTTCAATTAGCTATTAAGCCCATTAAGTCAAATGAGAACAACCCCTTAGTATCAATGATAAAAATTAACATTGAACTGTAAAGCATAGAGAGAAAAATCACATGGACAAAAGTCATATTAACAAACTACAGGGTTCTTTACTTAAACGCTTACTCAGTAAACATTTATCAAGAGAGATTTTAGTTCATCAAAACGTCATTGTATGCAATAATTTACCAAAAATTAAGCGCTTATGTGGTAAGGGTCATCATCTTCACTTATCGAGTAAGATTCCCGGTCTTTGACATCGTTCTTACCAGATAAGCTTACCAGTTATTCTTCCAATAAAATAAGTGACTCAACAAGCATTTATCAGATAAATTTTTGGTAAACAGTCTTGAAAATAACGAAAAAATAATTTATTCTTAAAATAATGAAAGTGATATGAAGATGGAAATATTTTATTGAAATAACTTGTAATATATAAATGTCCACCAAACATTTTTTATATGTACCGTACGTTACTTTGAAAGTCAAACTTTGACCAAAATAAAAATAGAATACAGTTTTTATTGCACAAGGTACAACCAAACCAACAAGAGCGTAAAGATCACCAGACTTGACCAATTTTGGGTACAAAGAAACCAACACGAAAGAAATGATGCAATTTTAACATATAATTTTATTAGATGTACACAGACCTGTTATCTATCTTAAATATAAATCAATTGTTTTTTTAACCAAAAGATTTGTTGCATAGTGGTTGAAACCGAGGAAGATGTGGTGGAATATCTCATCTGTCGTGGATTTAATTTATGGCGTCCACAACAATTGTGGTCAATGAGTTTTTATCAGCGTCGATGTTTTAAGGTTGTAATTTGTCGGGATTAGTTTGGAGATAGCTTGAAACACCGTTCTAAAAAAACAAACAAATTATTTTAGTAAAAACCAAATCGCCACTGTTTATTTCACTTAAATAGGATCTGGGATAGGATGTACACAAACCGTTCATCAATCGTGGTTTTCCCGAGTCATTTTTTTATAAAGGGGAAGGAGGAAAGTACAGGGAAGAAAAAATCTCGTATTTAAGAGTTTCTGAAAGAAGGAAACGAGCGGAAAGTGATACTGACTTTCGTCCCAAATGTAGGAAGAAAGAAATCATAAAACCAAATGGCATTTGGTCTAGTGGTATGTGAGTCATTTACCTCTTAGGAGGTCAAAAGTGAGGAGGGTATGTGAGTTTATTTGTTTTATTTGCCGTATATAAATATTATATATTTCAAAAAAATAATTAAATTAAATTATTTATAAAATAAATAACCGTATATTTGTAAAAAATAACAATTTTCCTTTCTTTCCTATTATTCTTTTTTCTTACCAAATTCAAGAACACGAGATTTGTAGATCATCTGTTTTCGTGAAAACAGATAAATTTTGTAAAACCAAACCTGTAAGATGTACATAGACTGATCATCTATTTTGAACAGTAAATCAACCATTTCCGTAAAAACAAATTAGCACAGTTTATTTCACTTGGACTAAAGTATGATAATAAGATATACGTAGACTTATCATCTACCGTAAAAAATAGAACGACTATTTTCATGAAAATGATAAATACACATTAAAGATCCAAGAAAAGGAGATGTAAATTTCATAAATCATCTAAAAACAAACAATAATTTCAAAATGGGCCAAATCGTATGTACACAAATTCTTGTTTCCTTCATTCGTAACGATTAACGACCTAAACCCGCAACAAAAACCGATCCCGAAAACGCTTGTTTTCTAGCCGGATGACGTAACATGGTTCGCGATCGACTTCTGAGACGAGAGCACCGGTTCGTTACTGCAACCCGACCCCAGAGCCGCCACCTCTTCAAGCCGTTTCCACGTGATTTCCCGTTTGGATTTCGTTTCTTCTTTGCGGGATTCATCTTCTTTAAACTTTCTCGAGCATTCTTCGAAGAGTTGAGGGTCGGCATCGGAGAAGATCTTTCGTACGTTCAACGTCAGGCTCTGTACGGCTTGATTCCAATGTGTTTTCGTGTTCCGTTCCAACGCCGGAAATATGATCGGCAATATCACTTTCCGGTTTTGTCGGATTAGGTTCTCGATATGATCATTGTTCCATAGGAACAACGCTCTCTCCGCCACCTGCAAATTCAAGAAACGGTTATACCAAAGGGTCATTCGTCCAACAGTATCCATATTACTGGTAAAATCCAGCTCAGGAGGTCAAAGGTTCAAACCTCATCAATAACAACAGAGTAACGTGTGAGAGTATTTGTCGTATATAAATATTATATATTAAAAAAATAAAGAAATAGTTACCAAAGGGTCATTAACCACAGTACATGGGTTTACTGATAGAGCCCAGTCTTTTTAACCAAACTAACCCTGTAAATCCCAATAGATTTGATTGACGAGATGCATGCAAAACTGATCTCTACCCCATATAGTGGATAAAGATATATAAATCTATATAACGATAACGGCTAAACGAGCTACCTGAAAGTGTGAACTGCTCAAGCAACGAGCGATTTGGCGAAACAACGGCACCATACATCTTTGAAACTCCGGAGGCTGCGTTGCTTCCAAAACCTCCTCGAGCTCGCTCAAAAACATCACTTCTTTCGAACTATTTGTGATCGGCCAATACTTCAACAAACCCCGGATAACCGTGTCCGCGAGTTTGCAATCTTTCTCGACGAATTGCGTGATGCAATACGATATCTGTTGATGATACATCGGTATACATTTCGGCTTGTGAAGCGGTATCAGAGCCCTAACGAGGAACAACTTGTGTTCTTCTTTCAATGGCAACGCGAAACCGTTGATAATGCTGCCCAAGATTTCCAAAAGCTCTGCGATCCCGTTATGTTTTTCGGTCTCGAAAACAAACCGAAAGAAGATATTGTTGATCGATTTCCTGATAAACGGCCGATGAACCATAAACTTTCCATACATTCGATGGAGGACAAATTTCAAATATTCACGCTCTCGTGGATCCTCCGAATCGAACAAATCTAGCCATTTTAGAACAAACCCGTGATCAATGTATCGTTTAGCGAGCTTCGGATCGGTTTCCGGTGATGCTACGAATCTTAGAACGAATTCATAGATCAGTTGGAGATGGGGCCAAGATGGATCCATTGACGGTTCTTCTTCTTCACCATCGAAAGTTTCCAACACTTTGTTGTCTCGAGGCTGAGGAGTAAGTCTTCGGAAGATGTTTACAGAAACCATCTTCACGATTTCTTGCATAATGGTTTCCGAAAACTTCCCATTTACCGCAGAAACATAATCAACGAGTTCAGCCAAAGTTTGTCGTTTGATCTCCTTTTCTTTCAAGTTCTTCGTTGGATCAGTAAAATCAAACACCACACAACATAAATTCAGCTTTCTGATGAACAAATTCTGCTTTTCGGAGGTTGGAACGTCTTTAAAGCTAGGCAAAAGCTCGTAGGTGTCGGAAACTAGCGAACGGCCATTCGATTTTGAATTTTGAGATTGGAGAAGCTTACTGTTCGTGTGAATTAGGGCATTCGAGGGATGAACGGATGGAGCATTCGAGCTGCTAGATCGAGTATTTGCTACATCATTGTTGTTCCTTGAACTTGTTGACGTATTTGAAGACGAATTCGAGTTTCCTCCATCTCGATTCTCGCTAGATTTATGGGGCTTCCGTGGGAGCCGATTAAATATCTTATTGATCATCACTTAAACAAGAAACTTGGATTTACTTGATACCCTAAACCCTAAATACTAAATCGAATGCTTTCTTATCAAGAACAAAAGTTGGGATTCTTATCAAATCATCCCAAAGAAACACATGATTTTGAAACTACTGGATTTTCTTGATACATAAACCCTAAACACTAAATCGAATGCTTTCTTTATCAAGAACAGAAGTTGGGATTGATAATTTGATATCAAATCATCCCAAAAAAACACATATCTTTTGAACCCACTTGGATTTTCTTGATAAAACCCTAAACAATAAACAAAATGCTTCTTATCAAGAACAGAAGGTGGGATTGATATCAAATCATCCCACAGAAACACATCTTTTTGAAGCCAATTTCAAGAAATCCCCTTTAAATCAAGAAAAAAGATCCTAATTTAACTTAAAAAGTTAAATCAAGACTTCTCCTGCAAGAAATCAAACAAATTCAAGAATCAGAAAGAAGGCAAAAAAGAACCCAATAATGCTGAAGTCATAAAAGCAAAGCTTAACATATAAACTATACACAAATTTCAGCTCATCAAGAACACACAACTCTTTGATAGCAAGCCTTTTGGAGTCAAGCTTCAATTGAGAAGGGTTTCTTTCTTGAATCATGATAACTAATCAGAACCGTTCATTTAGACAAAAACACAAACAAGATCTGGGCATGATCTAGAACACCCACATACCATTCATCATCAACAAGAATAAACCAAAATTAACAGAAGAAAAGAAGGGCGAACAGAGTTAAAGACTCAGAACAATCAAAAGATATCGTTTTTTGGTACAGAATCGATGAAAAAGTAGCATAAATTTGAAGAAAGATAGAATACTTACGTGGGGTTTTTGTTGAGAAGTGGTGAAGAAGGATGTGAGGAAGGAAATCAAGAACAAAAAGGGTAGAAGAAGATGAATCTTGGATCAGTTATATGAATTTGAAAACGATCTAAATTGAGGAGAAGATGAGAACAAGAAGAAGGAGAGAGAGAGAGAGAGAGAGAGAGAGAGAGAGAGAATGGGTTATAAAAGAAAGCGATCTCTGGTTCTTGTCTAACCTGCTAAGAATTTAGAAAAAAGAAAAAGAGAAAAATATTATTAAAAATAAATAAAATTGCAGAAAACACTTTTTTCTCAATTTGTCCGCTATTTCTTTTTACTAAGAAGTCTATTTGTATAATATAACGAGATACATCTTGATTTTAATATTTTATTTTATTTTTTATCTTAATCAATGTTATAATATGGTTTTATGTGATTTTGAAAAATCGATGATGTTTTTATTTTTGAATAAAATATAAATTTGAATATATTATTAAAATTTAACAAAATTATATCGATATTAGTATCAAATTAACTATTTAAAATCCATCATTTTTTGTGTAATTTTTTAATTATAATTTAGTTTACGTTCAATAACGAAATAATTTATATTAGTTTTAATAATATAATTTACTTATAAAGATAATAGTTAATTATTTTATTAGAACTCGATAATTATCCTAATTATACTTTGGATTTTTTTATATTTTAAAATGAGATGTTTATTCTCTATTTGATTATGTTTATCCGCAATTAATTACACGAATTCAAACATAGAACTTTAATAAGTTGTATTTATGTATAATTTATTTGTAATCTTGAATTTTAAGTAATATGCATCAATATACAGTATTTCATGCATAAAAATGATTTTTAAGAGTTTTTTCAAATGATTTATAATATAGTATAAATATATATATTTAGATTGTAAGGGTATTTGTAAAATATAGCGAGATACAACTCGACTTTAATATTTTGTTTTATTTTTTGTCTCTATCAATTTTATAATACGATTTTATGTGATTCAGAGAAAAAAAAGGATAATGTTTTTATTCTTGAATAAAATATAAATTTAAACGAGTTCTTATTTTTGGGAAAATTGCATCAAAATGGAATCAACTTTCACCTAAATCTTATTTTGGGGAACCAACTTTCAAAATCGTCATTTTGGGGAACCAACTTGCACCTGATTCCTATTTTGAGAAACCAACTTGCAAAATAATTATAGAAAAATAACTAAAATTCATTTTTTTTTCCAAAATTTAATACAATAAAATCTATTTTTCATTTCAAATCTCGTTTTTTTTAATTCATATATCAAATTGAACATTTTTTTTTAAATACAAATTACCACAATAAAAATTGTTTTTTACTAATGCAAAAAAAATCAATTTAATAGAAAAAATTAATTGATGCAATAAAAAATAAATATTAAATATCACATTCAATATTTTTATATCTAACCAATTGCATTAATTAATTTTTTTCTATTAAATTGATTTTTTTTGCATTAGTAATGAATTTTTTTTTTAATTTTCAGTTTGATATCTGAATTAAAAAAAAACGAGATTTGAAATGAAAAATAGATATTATTGCATTAATTTTTGGAAAAAAACGAATTTTAATTATTTTTCAATAATTATTTTGCAAGTTGTTTCTCCAAAATAGGAATCAGGTGCAAGTTGGTTCCACAAATAATGATTTTGAAAGTTGGTTCCCCAAAATAGGAATCATGTGCAAGTTGGTTCCCCAAAATGACGATTTTGAAAGTTGGTTCCCCAAAATGACGATTTTGAAAGTTGGTTCCCCAAAATAGGAATTACGTGAAAGTTGGTTCCATTTTGGTGCAATTTTCTCCTTTGTGTAATTTTTTAATTCTGTTTTTTTTATTATAATTTAATTTAAGTTTAATAATGAAATAATTTGTTTTTAGTTTAATAATATAATTTTTCATAAAGATAGTAATTAAATATTTTGTTAGAACTCTATGATTATTCTAATTATATTTTAGGTTTTTTATATTTAAAATGAGATGTTTATGTTGTATTTAATTATGTTTATCTGCAGTTAATTATACGAATTCAAACGTAAAGCTTTAATAAGTTGTATTTACTCACAATCTACTTGTAATATTGAATTTTAAATAATATGTATCAATAAATAGTACTTTATGCATAAAAATGGTTTTTAAGAGTTTTTAATAAATGTTTTATAACATCATATATAATTTTTAAGGGTTAAATACAAAATTGGTCCTTGTGATTTACATGAATTAACGAGTAAGGTCCCCAACTTAATGAGATATGGTAGCTTCTTTATGTTCTAACATTCTTACTATGATTTACATAAATTAACGAGTATGGTCCCTAAAAGAGATTATTAACAAGGGACATTTCTAAAGTTTCATTTTTATAACGGATATGGTTTTTCCTCTAGCTCGTTCAGTTAAATTTCCGTTAGTGAGGAGACATTTTTGTCTGTCCACCTTCCTCTTTCCTTGACTTCAATTTTCATTAACAAATTTGATCCGTCAAGCTATTTTTACTTTTGTAACATATTTGGTCCCTCAAATTAAATTACATTAGTATAACAAATTTGGTCTCTCAAACAACTTTTTATTTTTATAACATAAACTTAATTGAAGGAGTTAGAGGAATGACCGAATAACCATATCCGTTATAAAAATCAAACTATAGGGAAGTCTCTTGTTAATAATTTTTTTTCAGGGACCTTGCTCGTTAATTTATGTAAACCACATGGACTAAATTTGTATTTAACTCTAATTTTAAATAAGACTTTAATTAAATTCATTTGACAAATATAATGTCATTCTTTTAACAGGTCATGTATTTAATTAAAATCTCATTTAAAGTTATGTTTTATAACAAAAAAATTGTAGCTTTTATAAGTCATTACTATTATGGAGAGTTCTTTTATAGGTCATGTGGGTTGGTTTCACGTGAGACGTCCAAAAACATCCTATAAACCTCTTGTCAGTTTTTTAGATAAGACGCTTTATAGTTTTGTTCTATAAACTTAAGTCTTATGAAGTATTTCATTCGTTAAATTTATGTAACTATTAACTCATCAACCCGTCTCAACCCGTAAGGGTTGGGTTATACTTTTGAATATGTTAGGTTAGGTTGAGATTTTTCCAACCCGTTATAATTGGGTTGAGTTGTAAAAATGTCAACTGCCCAACCCAACCCGCATACACCCCCATGTAAAAGATGAGGTTGTTTACCGTACATTTTAATTAATAAATGATGTTGACTGAGATGTTGATTCGATAAAGAACGAAAAAACTCTCTTACTTTATTAGTGTTTACCCGATTTATGTTGGTATACCACTCCTAAACTTGCTTTAGATTGTGCCTATTTTCTACTCCAAATAAACTAAGCCCTTGTTTGTTTTTTATAAAAAAAAATCTTTTATTAGTCTCTTATGTCTGATTCGTTAAGAGGTAAGGTCATTCAAACTGTTTGTTTTTTTTCAATTTTTCATAGACACATATGTTTTATTGTCCTCTTATTAGGTAAGAGGTAAACCAACCTCTTATTTGCTTCTTATTGTTCTTCAAACCCTCAACAACGATGTTTTTCAATTAATTAACCTTAATCGATCAATCTTTACCAGATCAATCCTCATGTCTCTCAATTGATGTATTTTAATATGATTTATATGTGTTAAATATGTTAATGACATATTTTTCGTTTAAATTAATGTTAATTCTATAAGTTAGATGTAAATTTCATAATGATAATGAATAAATACGTGAAATTGTATAAATTTTATCTATAAATTCAACAATATAATTTTTTAATAGGTAAAATAGACAATTTAAACAAATTCAGGCATTTATCAGTTTATAAAAACAAACAGTCTTATTAATTCAGATTTCATACTTCAGCAACATCTCTTATAAATCAAAAGTAAAATAATACTTCGAATTTTAACATCTTTTAAAAAACAAACGCCATATGAATGAAACATTACTCGAATATCCATTTTGAATAGTGTTCGAAAAAGGTATAATATATGCATTTCTTTTACCCTAATAAGTAAAGAGATTGTTTTCGTAAAAATTCTCACCTCTTTTTATATTCCAAAGCATCTTTCATAACATATATTCATTACCATCTTTACAAATTACAAATGCAACATCAGAAGTTAATTCATTTTCTACTGATTATTATTTTTAAGTGAAAAAACAGCTATTAAGATGTTGTTTGTTTACTCTTTGAAGTTTTACTAAAAAAACAGTCATTGAATTGTTAAGATGTGAATTTTGTTTGACAAAAAAAAGTTTGTCTCTTAATGGTTATAAAACTCTTTGAATGATTTTGTATCATGTATTATTCCTTAACCATTCAGCGTCATAATTTTATTATAAGCAATTACCGAACAATTGTATTTCATTTTGCATTATATCATAAGAGTCTCTTGATGATTCTTACTACTTAATTATTCTATACAAAACCATTCAGTAACTTCTCAATTATTTTATTTCTCGTAGTTATCAGATACCAAAAAAACTTTAAATAATTAAAAATAACTTTGAAATTATTATTTCTTATAACATAAATGTTTAACTCCTAAATGTCTATTGTTGACTTTTTATTAGATATAAAATTGGATGATATATTAATCATATATTTTAATAATATAATTTAAAAATATACGATTCATCCAATCATTCTCAAACCCATTCTATATTTACTAAAAGGGTATTCGTACAATATAGCGAGATACATTTTTATTTTAGTGTTTCGTTTTATTTTTTATTTATGTTGATACAATATGGCTTATATAGTTTTGAGAAAGATAATATTTTTACTTTTAAATAAAAATAAATTTGAAAAAATATATCGATATTAATATCAAATTAACTATTAAAAAATTATCGTTCTTTGTACAATTTCTTTAATTCAAAATTCTATTATAATCTAATTTAGGTCTAATAGCGAAATAATTTATTTTTGTCTTAATAATATAATTTTTATAAAAGATAATGATTATGTTAGAACTCAATGATTATCCTAATTATATTTTAGATTTTTTATATTTAAAATGAGATGTTTATCTTGTCTTTGATTATGTTTATCTGCAGTTAGTTACACAAATTTAGGTATGGAGCTTTAATAAGTTGTACTTACGCATAATCTACTTGCAATCTTGAGTTTTAAGTAATATGCATTAATAAACGGTACTTTACGCATAAAAAGTGGCTTTTAAGAGTTTTTGTCAAATGCTTTATAATATAGTATAGATTGTATTAAATATATTGTTTTAAGGAAAACATAAAACAATTATCTGGTTTAAAATTTTATTACATGAATTTTAAGATAATGTAAATCACAAATATGGTGTTCATTTGGTTTAAGTTTGGACTCCAAAGATCAAAAGTGTTTGAAAGTCTCAAGTTCGAATACAAAGAGGAATAAAAATCCTCTTTTGTGGCCATCGAGGTTCAAATTTGATGATTCCGGGCTACCCATGAAGCGGATGATCACTTTGGGATTAGTCACCTCACATAGCGGATTGGATATTCAGGTTAATAATATTTTTTTAAAGATAATGAAGTGTATTTAATCATTAAGTTGATCACAATCATTTTACATTTTAGGGGTTGTTTGTTTACCTCTTAAAACAACTCTTAAAATGTGAATTTTGTTTGGTAATAAAAAAATTTCTGCTTCTTCATGATTCTAAAATCCTTTGAATGAGATTCTCTTAATCATTTTGACCACTTAATTCTATTGTAAACAATTTCCAACAATTATATTTTATTTAGCACTATGTTATGATAGTCTCTTAATCATTTTGACCACTTAATTATTTTACACCAAATCATTCAAAAACTGTCCCTTTTAGAGTTTGTTAAAATTTATGTTTTAAAACCAGTTTTTATTAATGTTTTGTGTTTTGTTAAACAGCTCAGTTATTCACCAAAATAATCAATTTCTATTTATGATATGATAATACTAAAAAAAGTATTGCAATTTATTATTTCACCCAACTCTTGGTTTAAAGTTGCAAGAGAGATTTGACCCTTCAACAACCATATTATTCACAATTATAAATTCCTTAAAAAAAGAAAAATGAATGTTTTATTTTTATTGTAAATTCATATTTATTTATAAAATTTATTATTAATGTGATTGTACTGTTCTTTTATAGATAATAAGAACATTTTTAACAGGTTCTCTAAAATGGAGAAATAAAAAGTTAAAATCTTCCAAAAAATGAATTATATTTATCTCCAACAGATTCTTTATTTTGAGGATTACACAATTAAGTATATCATTAAATATTCAATACAACTCATAAAATAATATTTATCTCTTTTAAACATTTAAAGCCAAACAATCTTATTGAAAAATTAGAAAAAATCATTTATTTATTTTTTTGTAAGTAATCAACTTTGAAAAAATCTCTAAATTTAAATAATTTTATTATTTTTTTAAAAAAATTTCCATTCTAAAGAGAATTTTAGGAAATAGAATAAAATATTTAAAATTTTTATTTTAAAAAATCTATTAAAAATGGTCTAATAATAATTAAAATAATAATAATAAAGCAAGTACATTAAATTTGAAAATTCCAACTCTTGGACCTAGATATGTTCACCGGTTGACATTCATTGGATGTAAGGGGAATCGAACTGATCCAATCATCTGTTGGATGTTGAATTTTGCCAACCGATCTGATCCGATTAACATTGGATAAACCGATCCAATCCAATCTAATGGATGATTGGATCGGTTCGATTCCATCTATTTGATACTTTTATTGAATATCCATCGGATATCCAATGGATGGTCCGAGGAGATTGGATTTATCCAGTGTGTTAATTCAATTCAATTCTTTAACAATAATACAAATTAATTAATCAATTTTAATGTGTTAAAACCGACATAAGGAAAGTTAAAAATTTAAAGTCTCACATAAAATAAATTCCAATCTAAACAATTTGAAAATAAATTAATTGGATGAGAGTTGGATGGACAACTGGATGGTCATTAGATGATTAATTAGATGTTGGTCGGTTCAGTTCGATCTTGGTCGGTTCTAGACTGCCATTTGAGAACCGATCGATCCAAATTGGATGTTGAAAGTTTCAATCTAATCTGATTTAAATACAATTGGATATTCAATCATGATCAATTGATTCTAATTAATTGAATCAGTTTCAATTGAATCGATTGATTTTTTATACAACCTGCTTGGACCCAATATTAAAAAAAAAAAAAAAAAAAAAAAAAAAACCCGCCATCAATACTCAATAGTACGGGCACAAACGGAAATGTCACTCAACAAGAGTGGGCAATGGGGCTCATTTCATATTAATCAGCTTTTGGAGCGACACGTGTCGTTTGTTAATTGGCCTAATTATTTGCAATTACTTAATAGTCTTGTATATTTTCTTTACCAAAACACCGTCTTTTTCGTTACAACATAAATAAAGAAAGATTAAGGGGCTGTTTACCAAACGTTTATTCGGGTAAGTGAACACCAAATCAAATAACCTTACTAGATGAATATAGTAACGATCAAGAATCTTACCTGGTAAGAGCGAGACAAGAACCAAGAGTTCTTACCCGATAAGTGAGGGCGCTGACTCTTACTAAGGTAAGTGCTTACCGGGTAAATTATTGCATATGATACCGTTTTGGTGGACTAAAATCTTATCCGATAAGTAAATGATAGTGTTAAGTTTACCAGTAAGCGCTTACCGGGTAAGTGTTTGGTAAAAACCTCTAAGTTACGTTTTTATCAAAATTTTATTGGGTAATTACTTATCAGTAAAAATCGTTGTTCTTATTAACCTTATCTGGTGAGGTTAGCGGTCATTAAAATGACATCATATGTAACCGGTAAGTGTTTACTAGTAGAAGTTTTTATTCTTATTTACTAGATAAGACTCTTGTTCCTTACTTTGCCTCTTACTAAGGTGACGTTTGTTTTTAAAGAGATGTTGAAGTCTGAAATATTATTTCACTTCTGATTTATAAGAGGTGGTGAGGAAATCTGAACCAATAACACTGTTTGTTTTTTTGTAAAATGATAAACGTCTGAATTTGTTTAAATTGTCTGTTTTTACCCATTAAAAAATTATAGTATTGAATATATAAATAAATTTATACAATTTCACATATTTATTCATTATCATTACAAAATTTACATCTAAATCGTATAATTAACATTTGTTTAAACGATAATATGCCATGAACGGCATTTAACATATTAAAATCATATTAAAATACATCAATTGTGAGATGTGAGGATTGGTTTGGCAAGAATCGATTGAGAGAAATGATCGATTAAAGCTAATTGATTTAGAAACACCGTTGAACAATAAGAGACAAAGAAGAGGTTGGTTTACCAATTACCAGATAAGAGGACAATAAGACATAAGTGTCTTTAAAATTTTGAAAAAAACAAACAGTCTGAATGACCTTACCTCTTAACGAATCAGACATAAGAGACTGATATAAGTTTTTTTAATAAAAAACAAACAAGGCCTAAGTAAGATTCTCAACATTTATCATGTTAATCCGGTAAGACAAGCGACACAATAATCGTTTGATAAACAACATCTGATTACGCATGGTTGGTCGTAAATGTTAGGAGTGGCTTTTATGCCGATAAGCACATTTGCCCAGTTGAAGGTACGAGCAAAAGTGTTTGCAGTATTTATGAAATCAGAATCTAGAATCTAACAAGGAACAAAACGTAAAGTGAATAGAAGGGCATAAATTCCCACAAGATTTTAGCAGGCATCTCATTCCTTGTTAATCATACAACGAGAGAATAAAATGCAAGTTTATTCTATTTCTCTGATACCTTATTTAGATTCATCTGATTTTTGTCATCTTGTAGCCTTTCATCAGCACGTTTGTGTGACTCGTATAAATTTCCAACTTAAAGTTTTATTTCACGTGATTTTTTTTCCATCCAAGGGCTTGTTTGTTTATCTATTCATAGTTCCATTAATAGACAGTCTCTGAATCGATAAGAGGTAAATATTGTTTGGCAAAAAAGTCTGTCTCTTAATGATTCTAAAACACTTTAAATGATTTTGTATCATGAGCATCCCTTAACCAATCAGCGCCCTAATTTCATTGTAAACAATTACCAAACAATTATATTTTATTTGTACTTGTTGTCCCACTCTGATCAATCTTCAAAGATAAATCTTCATAGATTCATGACAAATCTGGATATGAACATTAAAAACTTCATAGAGAGTTGAGAGAGAAAGTCACTATACGTAAAATGAATTTTACAATAAGCTTCCTATAACAATTACAAGACAAACACCTTATTTATAGGGTCAAACTATAAAGTCCTAGTCAAAGTCAAACATAACATACAAAGTCAAACACGATGTCTATTTTAATTATAGACAATAGTAACTTTCAAGACGAATACAATTTTACACTGACTTTTAGTCCTAACATTACTATATAACGAGAGTCTCTTAATCATTATGCACCAAATTATTCAACAATTGTCAAACAACCTCTAAGTATAATATTTAATGTATTAATTAACATATATGTTTGCTTTATATATAATCAGTTCACAATGTGAAACCTTTTTACTTGCATTTTTGTTTCATAGACAAGCGAAAAATATTCACGTTGTGAGATAAATAAATTATAAAACAAATTTATGTTAATTATTATATTAAATTATAGCCATAGATGAAAAAAACCATATGAACTAACGCATGATGTCCTGGTTATTAGAAATTTCACAATTTAGAGTGTTTTCAAAAGAAGGTCCCTGTATACAAACTAATTTTAACCATCTATCTAGTTTAATGAATATCTGATTTCATAAATATATTTTTTCTTGATCAAAATTAATAAACGCTGATCTTATTTCATAAATATTCAAATCATAATAAATCTGAATTGATTTTTTCGAATAGGATTTGAATTTAGAACATATCGGATCAAGACTGCTAAGGGTGGCCCAATTAGAAAATCTGAACTTGCCCAATACCCAATCTCCTTGCCGGAGGCTTCTTGCGCAAGATAAACGCAAACACAATTTACACAAACTGAGCTTCGTTCTACAAAACTTTTGAACTGAAGAAGATTTGATCATTCCATGGACTCCCAATTTGCCAAGGTATTGTTCTTTTGCTCCTCATCTCTTCATTACGAATTCGATTAGGGCTTTTTTTCCTTCATTTTTATGATGTTTTGCCGTCAATTTTAACCTGAATCGAAGTCTTGTCATCTATATCTGATTGTGATTGATCGAATTGTTTTAGATTTTTACTCCCTAACGTCAATTGGACCTCACGAAACGTTTACTGTGGTCCGTTCTGCTTTATAATGAGGGTGATTAATCGAGTTCTAATGAAATGAATTTGGATCAACCTATTAGGGATTGAGAAGGATCAAAATTGAGAACTGTGTTCAATTTTCGATCAAATTATGTTATCATTTTCACATTATAAGTCTAATTGCAGCATTGATTTGAGATTTGGACATTGCTAACGGGAAGTAATTAACTTAGAACATGCATCTGTTTCATGTAATTAGTGAATAGTTATCATGTGAAATCGTTAGCTAGAATTCCTACCTATATACTTGCTTGTTGGACTGTTGAATGTTTTGAATATAAAAACTTACATATAGATAGAATCAAGAATAAGTGTTTGTTAGCAGCTTAATGTGCTTAATGAGCTTAATGAGCTTAATGGAAGTATGGAACTCACATCTTATTCGGTCAGCTATATGTGACTGTCCGGTAGTAGCTTAATAATATAGAAAGGACTTGATCAATAAGTTTCTAGGAGGGAGTTTCATGCAGAAAGCCAAGTTTGTTCTAAACCTACCTCTCCCAATTAAAGAATACGCTCATTCTATCCATAGAAAATTTTCTCAAACAAACACTCTCTCAATCTATACAGACAAATTAATCCACATAAACAGCTTTATCCATAGAGGACTTAATGGAAAACCAACCAAACAGCCCCTAAGAAAAGAGAAGGATGAAGAAAACTAGGGCTAAAGACTTTTGCTGTTAATACATAAAGGTACTATATTTTGACAATGGTATCATCTGCGAACTATATTGGTAAATCAGGAAAAGCTTGATGCAGCGAAACAAAATTATGGACGAGATATTCGTGTATTTGAGACAACGACTACCTCTAAAACATCAAATGAGCCAATCATCGATGGTATGGATTTACTTCTTCTTTGAGGCTGTATAACTAAATGATTAATGCATTACATGTACCTTTTTAGACGTAACGGGTTTATTAATTTGATAGAGGAGCCAGACGAGTTTTTCGAATTCACTGCTGAAGATTATTATCGCATATTGGCTACAAAAAAGGAAGGTGAGAATATGTATATGGTAATTTCTTTTTGGTGCTGTAAGGTAGCATTTGGTACACAGATTGGATGGGACAGGACTGGACTAATTGCCTATCCAATGTTTGGTACGATTAGAACAGGACTGGACTACGACTAATTGCCTGTCCTATGTTTGGTACGACTAGAACAGGATTGGACTGATTTTATGACTTGCGTTTGGTAAGACAGGACAAAACTGTTAAAATGATCAGATTGCCCCTAAATGTTGTTTAATGTTTTTTTATATCGTAAATAACCATGTGCACAATTATGGACAGATAAATTTTTGAAGACGAAAAAAATCCGAGAAGCAGAAGAAGCTGCTCGTAGATCAAGGATTACAAAGGTAAAAGCTGAATTGTTCAAAGCCAATCCAATTTAGCGTGTTGTAACGTCTTCATATAACGTCATTTCTTGTTGTACAGGCTGTGATTCGTGTCCGCTTCCCAGATAACCACACATTAGAAGCTACATTCCATCCATCGGAGACGATGCAAAGCTTAGTTGATCTACTCACAAAAGTTGTCGCTCAACCGAACCTCCCTTTCTATATATGTAAGCATATCTTACGTTCCTACCTATTTAATTAAATACATATATAGGATAAACAATAAATAGAGTATGCGAGATCTAATAAGCAAATAGAGGAGCATTTCACAAATCTGACATGAGCTTCAAGTATTTAGCAGAGGCGGACCTAGAATTGTTTTGAAGTGATGACACCATTTGACTATTGAAAACCAAGCTATGGATATTTTTTAGAAAATCATCATTGTTCTGTTGGTTAGTTTCTTGGTTTTTGCATGTGAGGTCCTGTGTTCGAGTCTTTTATCCCAAATTTTTTTAGATTCATAATAAACCTGAAATTAAAAGCTAGAAACTAAGAAAATGATAAAAATGGGATTCAAATCCGCACATGGAAGGCCAGAAAAGACTGTGCAAATCAACTCTATGAAGAGAAACTTGTGTTATTATTGTAGTTTCAAAGAATATACAGTTGCACCCAACAAAATAATAGGGTGACACCTTTCATGACCCTAAATTTTTTAGACTATGACAAAAGAATGAAGCGGTGGCACGATAGTGGGTCCGCCGCCCTTACTCCTAATTGAAATTTAACTAAATGTGGTCAAGATGATTGCCATCTTGCATTGCTTGAAGACGGTGTTTGTAATCAAAATCCGAGCCGTGTTATCAATTTAAATGTAGTCTTGCCATTTTCTTGCAGATACTACTCCTCCAAAGAAGCAAATAAAAGATATGTCTCAGGACTTCTATTCCGCGGGTTTTGCTCCGGGTGCAATCGTCTATTTTTCATACGATCAATCAAAAGGTCAGTACTTCGCTGTCTTCGAAGAACTAAGGGCCCGTTTGGTTTACGGGATTTAGTGGGACTTGGAATTGGATTCCATTCCAATATCGTGTTTGTTTTAAAGGAAAGTCCATAACTGAAATCCCACAAACATGGGGATAGTTGGTATCCATAACTGAAATCCCACAAACATGGGGATAGTTGGTATTTTGCGGGGTTGCTTAGGATTTGTTTTTAAATATTTTAAAAAAAGTTAAAAACACTTGAATAAAAAGGTAATCTAATTCTTTTAATAATTTTATACAATTTGTTTTTAAATTATTTATAAATAATAGAATTCAATTCCATTCCAAATCCTACAAACTAAACGCATGTTAACTATTATTGGTCTTGGATAGGGTTAGTGAGCCGACTGTTAGTCACCTGAATCCTAGGTTAGACTAGGGGTGTGTAGTCCTTCCCTACCACGGCTAGGATTTTGGTTGCTTACTTCTAACTTGTTTTTCAATTTTTAACGCTGCCTTTCTTGTTTTCAAGATTGTCTTTTCCGAATGTTCTTTTTACACAATTTTTTTCGAACAAACACTATGCACAAGCAAGACGTTTTCACATAAACGTTTGCAATATTCTTTGGGGTACAGGTCAGGTCAGGTATATGTCCATCTTAGAGCATATCCAACAGATTTTTGACAATTTTTGCTCCAATAGATTCACCAAAATGGAGAAAGTGAGAGAGAGGGTATAAATTTCTCCAGATTTGGAGATCTCTCCAAAAATGATTACCATGAGAGAGAAATGGTCAAAATAGAGAATCGGTTCGAGTTGAATGTAATTTTGTTAGAGATTTTGAACTTTGGTTCTCTATTTGAGAGAACTATTAGAGAATATGTTGGAGATGCTCTTACCCTCTCTAGACCCCACCATCAGATGGGATATACCAGGGTTTTTTGGTTTGGTTTGGTTGTAAGTTGCAGATAAGTCTCATTGTGACTACTAATGAACCAGAGGTTAATGGTGTGTTTTGGGGGTCCAGGTGATGATCATGTTGGTGCTGCCTCGGGTCCGTTTCTAAAAGAGGATATAATGTTGTTAAAAGGTCTGGAACTCGTAGCCGAAGAGGAGAAACCTGAGGTCAACCAAGGTGCCACCAAACTTGTAGCTGCTGGTGGCTCACCAGCGGTTCAAGAGCGGAAGCCGGCTGCCGATAAAAAGATGGTGAAACCAAAGTGGTTGAGAATGTGAGGGTTTACAAAACAGTGTTGTTTGTAATGATTTGTAAAAGATTTAGATATGAAAAAGATGTGCATCAGCTGTTAAGAATGATCATATGACTCTTATTTGTATCTGTATTTTTGTTTTGTAAGTCGGAGGTTTTCATAAAAGCTGTCTTTGTGGGGGGTGCATTTGGTACACTAAACAAGACAGTAAAGAACAAGGATTACAAGGTTCAACGTTTGACATGACTTTTATGTGGAACAGACAAACAAATCGTTAGAGTCAAATGGAGATCAGTTGACATATGTCTTATCTGTATATCAAACGCATCCTAAATTAAGGTGCATGTACATCCTATTTTTCGGACCCTATATCCAGCAGGATATACTGGGTCCATTTAGTTTTTATTTTCTAAAACTATCTCATGTTCTATGAGCAAGCTAACCAAGTTAGGTTGGTTCCATGTAGAGATGAACAAGGTCTGGATTTTTTATGATTACTAGATTTCACTAGTTCGAAAAACACATGAACTTCAAAAAGCTTGGGTTGGATTTGGTTGGGCTGGATTGGAATGCTTACCCTTTGTGTTTTATTTGCACCAAGTCTTGAACTGGAACGTAGTATTCTTGAATCGTCTTTAAACTTCATTTTTCATTTGTTTAAAGTTAAGTCTTCCGACAATACAATTCCATGCCGTGAAGCAAGACGGGATTCAAACCAAAAATTGGGCTTCACCCAGTATTTCTATTCCAGGCTTAACCTGAGCCTAGAAAGAAAAACCCAACCTAATAGCCTGATTAGACTTTAAGCCTTGGCCTACGGCTGGAATTTAAGTTTAGGTTTTTTGGACCCGACCTCGTTCCTGAACCTTTTTCACATCTGTAATTCGACCTAGGAGATATGATTTATTTTCTTACATGTTTTATATTTGTTATACAAAATTATATGCATGTATAATTGTATATTAATAAAAAGATAATGCCCATGATTGTGACACATATCAATTATTATTTTTAAGTATATAATATTTATATATGGTAAATAAAAAAAATAAACTCACACATCTTCCTCATCTTTGGTAAGATTTGAACCCCTAGATCAAATACTCACATACCACTAGGCCAAATAAGGCTATTTTGAACACATATCAATTGTTTGTTTAAAACAATAAAAATATTCTACATAAACAAATGCCAACGACTAGAATTTGTGTCGGCCAAAAGTAAAGTATTGACTTAAATTATTTAAAATCAAAACGTTTTTGTTTTATTATTTTATTTTTAAGTTTGATCTCTTTCAATTCCATATTCGAAGTTGCGATCAATAAATGTAATGCATTAGTTGTCCGGTGTCAGGTTGGACAGTTCTGCTGAATCCATGGGCAGGCAAGAGACAACCTGACGAACTGAACTAACATTTAAAGCAAAAATGTTAGTTTATGTTAATTTAAAAAGGCTAAATGTATAAAATAATATACCACCTTAAACATATATGAAAGTGTATTAAAAACAGTTGCGGATTTAGGATTTTTTTCAAGCGGATATACAAGTTAGATTAAAGGTCTGTAAGTTGTACGATGCGCTTTTAGCTGAATCCACTGTTTTGAGGGATTTTTAGTTCTTTTGGTTGACATCACATGTTTATCAGTTATTTCGTATGCAAACCATAAAATTCACCGAGTTTATTAATTGATTGGTTTTAAAAGCTTAGCATTTGTTTTCAGTTCAGTATAAGATGTTTTAGTATTGTAAGTTTATTTCATTATATATTTTTGAGGTGGTTACGACATTTAAATGACTTGATTGACATAAATAACAAATAACAATTTCAAGAAGAAATTGAAATCGAAGCGAACCTTGATCCAAGATGATCTTGAGCCTACCCTCAACTAGGCATGACAACGGCGCGAGAATTGGGAGGGTTTTGTAATCCACGTCCCCGGTCCCCGACGGTTAAAGGGACTAACATCCAAACCTCTATCAATCCCTGGTCAAAACTCAGTCAAACCCCATGAAGAATATCCGTAAGTTTGATTCTACTGGGGACCCCTAGTCCTGGTTTGAGTAACATCCTCCGGCCCCGACCCTGGGACCAGTTTTAGCGGGGAATCCCCGTCCTCGTTCGGGTCGGGTGAACCGGGTTCCCCACCGAGTCGGGGCAAATCACTATTTCTACCCTCAACTAGTCTAACTTCGTAAAATAATTATTTTTTGTGTAGCCCAAATCTCACCACCGTACACTAAAATAGTGAAAATGACTAAAATATCCCTCATTTAATTAAACCTAATAATAAAGTTAATAACCATTAGACATAAGTAACAAAACCATTAAAAATTGACAATCCAATGAGCCAAATTCGAGCTTTTAGAGCTTAAAGACTATATTGGTTGAAAGGAACAAACATTTGAACTTTTACTCTTTCAATTATTTTTATATGAACTTCTGAAAGTTCTTTAATAGGTTTGGTTTGTAGGAATGAAGTGGATTTGAGGGAATTTGGATTTCAAATCCATTCTAGTCTCATGTTTGGTTTGTTGGATTGTCTGAATTTGAAATCCTTGGATTTTAATTGAAATCCTACAAACATAGGATTTTGAAATCGACTAATAAAAATACAATATAATAATATTTATAATTTTTTATATATTATTTAAAAATAATAGAATCCAATTTCATTTCAAATCTTACAAATCAAACATGCAAATGATTTCAAATATATTCCAATCCAAATTCCTCCATGAAATCTAAATCCCTCAAAAACAATCTTACAAACCAAACGGACCCTTATTTTTATGTAGTCACTCTGTTCCAAAATAAATGTCCATAATAAAAATGACATGAAGCTTCAAGAATGTGCAATTATTACACATTTTAAATAATCAAATTACACTTGTACCCTTGATAATAGAGAGTGAAACAATCTTCATCTCATAATTAATGGTAGAATGGAAAATTGAAAATCTACTTTTAAAAATGAACACTTATTTTAAGATAAACTAAAATAGTAATATAGACACTTAATATAAAATGAACGAAATAATTAACTATTTCAATAAACACATAAATCCCATTGTAGGTTACATCCTAAGGGGTTGTTTGTTTAACTCTTAATAGTTCCATTAAGAGACAACGTTTGAATCGTTAAGAGGTGAATTTTATTTAGCAAAAAAGAAATTGTATCTTAATGGTTTCAAAACCTTATGAATGATTTTGTATCCTGGGCCTCCCCTAACCATTCAGCACCATAATTTCATTGCAAATAATTATCAAACAATTATATTTCATTTTTCATTATATCATAAGATTCTCTTAATCATTCTGTATCAAACTATTCAACAATTGATAAATAACCCCTAAATAAATATTGGAATACTTTAATTAAATCAAAGTATGAAAAGGAAAAAAACGCATAATTAATCATCTTCATAAAGTTTGACAATTAGTCAAAAGTTATGTACCACGCGTTTTTATCACTAAACAACAGTTAGGAGAAAACCTTAAATAAATTAAAACTATCAAATACCTTATCAATTGTTAAATAAATTGAAACAGGGGTGTTTAAGATTGCTTATTTGAAATAATTTATGTTTTTCTACAAAAACACTTATCAATTTATTATAAGTTAGAAGAGTTTAACTTCTTTAAAAACTCTTTATTACTTGTTTGGCACCAGTATAAGTTGTTTATCCAAACACTTAAAAGTGCTTATTACCGGTGTCACACCAGAATAAGTCAATAAGTCGTTTTTATAAGCAAATCCAAACACCCCCCTTAGAGACCGTTTACCAAATGCTTACCTGAGTAAATGCTTAACAAATCATATCACCTTACCGGATGAAGATGACAAGGATAAAAAATCTAACTCGGTAAGAGCGAAGACAAGGAATGAGAGTCTTACCCGGTAAGTGATGACAACGACTCTTACCACGTTTAACGCTTATCGGATAAATTATTACATACAATGTCGTTTTGATGGACTGAAATCTTACCCGGTAAATGAACGATAGTGTTGAATTTTACTAGTAAATGCTTATCGGATAAGTGTTTAGATAAACGGCCTCTTAGTAGATATTATTAAATGAACATTATAACAATATTTTTAAATTAAAAAAAACCCATGGTACCTGTTTTTATTCGAAAAATAAATAAAATTTGAACGAAATAAATTATATAAAAAATATTATATTATAATATGGTCTTATGTGATTTTGAAAAAAACGGTAATGTTTTTATAATTGAATAAAATATATGAAGATATTATACAAATTTAAAAGAAATATCTCGACATTAATATCAAATTAACTATTTAAAATTTCTTATTTTTTGTGTAATTTTTTAATTCAATTTTTTTAATTATAATATAATCTAGGTTCAATAACGAAATAACTTATATTTGGTTTAATAATATAATTTTTTATAAAAATCACAATTAATTATTTTGTTAGAACTCAATAATTATTCTAATTATATTTTAGGTTTTTTATATTTTAAAATAAAATGTTTATCCTCTATTTGATTATGTTTATCCGCAGTTATTCACATGAATTCAAACATGGAACTTTAATACGTTGTACTTATACACAATTTACTTATAATCTTGAATTTTAAGTTTGCATAAAAAATTAATAATTTTTTGTCAAATACTTTATAATATAGTATAAATATAATAATATAACTTGTATTATTTGGCCCTAAAAAACCCTTATTTAACGAGATCATTTAACGTTCGTTAAATAGAGTAACTAAATCCAAACGTCTTTATGAACCATAACAATATCTTGTATTTTCGAAATAATAGTATTATAACCAACAAAAAACGGGAACCAAATTTATAGTTTACTCTTCTATTTATTTTACATTTAAATAATAAACTCAAAAAAGGTTTTAATTTTAAGGGGTTGTTTGTTTACCTATTAATAGTTTTATTAAGAGACAGTCTCTAAATCGCTAATATGTGAATCTTGTTTGAAAAAAAAAAGTCTGTTTCTTGATTGTTATAAAATCTTTTGAAAGATTTTGTATTTTGTGTCTCCCTTAATTATTCAATGCTAAATATTTATTAAATAATTATATTTTATTTTGCATGTATACGAAAGTTTCAATGTCTCATAAATACAGTTTTGACTTTTGTGACCAAATTAATACGAGGATAAAGTTAAAATTTGGAGGTTTATCTATTTTTGTAATTTTTGAAGGAATGTTACGAAAGCAGGGAAAACTGGCCGTTAAATCTTCCGGGTAAAAATATCTGTGAATATTCTGCTAGAAAAACACGTGTCACGTCAACGTTGACGGCGGCTGACGGAAAAAAGTCAAAAAAACTACGAAATTAATTATATTCATTAACCCCCACTCCAAAATTCCATAATTTGGTGGTTGGTGAGTGAGAAGCGCATCCTTCCTTCAACGATTTCAAACCTTTGCTTCAATTCTCATTAAAGTCATCAGCAAAAACGCTCCAATTCTTGCCCATTTTGGTTCAATCAACCTGCTTCATGCTGTTTTTCTCTTCCATTATTCTGATTTTTGTTTGATTTTGTGTTCTGTGATCCTCGGTTTATATCGCTTTGTGATCAGGTAAATCGAATTTTGCGATCGAGTTATGCTCTTTAGTTTAGATCTGTTGTTTATATGTTACTTATCTTTAGATTGATAGATTCGTCTAAATCTCAATTCATATTTGGGGGAAATGTTAGGTTTTGCTTTCAGTTCTAGTAGTTGATTGATTGTAGTCGTTATCTGATTGTATTTGCTAATCGGTACTTTCAGATCATTTGAGCCGAATCTGAAGTTTTTTTTTGACTAATTTTTATTTGAATTCCGTTGATTACAGGAGTAGCGGTGAAATTAAGCTCGATTGCTTTTCTGAGTAATTCTACTTCAAGGTTTAGAAATGGGTTCGGGTTCGGGTCAATGGTCTGTTGAAAATAGAGCTCCAGTTAGGAATGATTCAGTTGTGAGTGAGTATGTGCCGGAAACTGGTTGTCTTTCGATTATTGTTCTTGGGGCTTCTGGTGATCTTGCGAAGAAGAAAACATTTCCTGCACTCTTTCATCTCTACCGTCAGGGATTTATTCAATCACAGGATGTTCATATTTTCGGTTATGCCCGAACCAAGATTTCAGATGATGATCTGAGAGCTCGCATTTCTGGGTGAGATTTTCTTGCATGTTCATGTCTTGATTGTGGGATCTTGTAAATTGGTTCCTTGAACCATTGCAAGAAGATCGGCTGTATCTAGGGCACTTTTGGCGGCCTAACAATTTTTTTTAGGACAATTTTAAAATAAAACATCCTATTAGTATTTTTATACGACATTATTTCAAAAACATCTTGACAAATTTGGCATCCTTTAAACCTATTTTGTTGTAATGACCATTTGTCAAAGGCGTGAGTGTTCATGCAAATAACTGCTGGTCTCTGGGTAGAGGTCCGGTCTGGACATTCGGGTGGGATACACCGGGCTGATTTGGTTTGGTTTACCCTTTGTAAAATTTTAGTGGCAAACTTTCGATGTACTTACTGTTCTTTTCAATCTATACTGCAGATATCTTACACCATGCAAAGGTTGTGAGAGAACACACGATGAAGACGTAACCCAGTTTCTGCAATTGGTAAGTACTGGATGAGCCATTCTTGCTTTTTGCTCGATCCATCCCAATAAAAATGAGCCTGTTTTCATGCCATAAAAGCTTAAACGATCTTACCTTAAATTTGATCTTTGAATCACCTCAAGTCAGTTTATATGATATTTTGAAGAACTGAAATTCATGTTTTTACCAATTATCTTAAAAGGTTGTTTTGATAGCTTTTAGTGAAAGTAGAACTATTATGTGTGAAGCTTGATGGAAAACACATTTTCAAAGACATTCATGATTAGCTAAAACTGATAATCTTTGGTTGTGGCTGCATGTATAGATCAAATACGTATCTGGTGCTTATGATACCGAGGAGGGATTTCGATCATTGGACAAGGCGATATCCGAGTACGAACTGTCGAAAAACAGTACAGAAGGATCATCGAGGAGACTCTTCTACCTCGCTCTTCCACCATCTGTATATCCATCTGTCTGCAAAATGATAAAGAGTTATTGCATGAATAAATGTATGCATTCCTAATCCCAATTCGATTTCCATAGTGTTTGATGCATATGGGCAGTATAAGCTGGTAGCTTGTATCATATCTATGAGAAAGTGGAACCCCCAAACTCCTCTCCAGAAAAGCCATTGAGAGAAGGGAAGTTCCAACATATATCGAGGAAAAATGGGTCCACGTCTAGTCATGGTGGGACTCTATCTCCGCCCCTCTTAACGGTGGCTAGACCGGCATTTATTGCACACGAGTGTCGAGCGCGGGCTGGGGGAGTACATATTGCCCCAGAGTGTCGAGTGGAGGGGTAAACCTTGGCTCTAATATGATGTGAGAACATGTAGAACCGCATTAGATTACTCTCCAAAAGAGCCCTTGAGGAGAGAAGCGAGGTTCCAACATATATTTAAGGAGAAATTTGTCCCAAACTAGTCGATGTGGGACTCTATCAGTATCGACCCAGTACGGTTTTAATTTGCATGGTATAAATGTTTCTCAACTGAATTTTTGAAAGTTAAGCTGTTATTTGTCCAGCTGATCTTGGTGGTTGGACTCGAATTGTTGTGGAGAAGCCTTTTGGTAGGGACTTGGATTCTGCTGAAGAACTCAGTGCTCAGATCGGAGAGCTGTTTGATGAACCACAGATCTATCGTATTGATCATTATTTGGGGAAAGAGTTGGTGCAGAACTTGGTAATAGCAATACCGGAACTACCCATCCATTCTTTTGCGATCTCTTCAAATATCACTTTTCTTTAAACTTCTGGTAACAAAATTGCAGATGGTTCTTCGTTTTGCAAATCGCTTCTTCTTGCCACTATGGAACCGTGACAACATTTCTAACATACAGGTGCACATTCTTCTTGAAATTTTTCACTTCAGTGAGCTTTATATCTGAATGTGAATGCATGATATTCATGAATATTTAGGTATATTCGTCATGAATATTTAGGTATATTCGTCATGAATATTTAGGTATATTCGTCATGAATGGTTGGCTCTCACAGTTCTCACAGTTCTTAGCATATTGGCGGTTTTCAAATGAACATGCCCCTAGATTGGTAATAGTGTTAACTGTTAAGAGGTTGTAGATTATGTAGATGATGTGTTAGTTATAATCCTCTTATTCACTTCTTTATTGTTATTCCATGAGATAATCTTGTGAATACAGGAATTTCTCAATGTAAGAAATGGGAATGATTTTGGCTTCAGATTCTTATATTTTTGTTCCTTCTGAAATTTTCTATCAGATTGTGTTTAGAGAGGATTTTGGAACCGATGGTCGTGGTGGATATTTCGATCAATACGGGTAATTTTTCTGTAATTATATTATGATCAGCTGTCATCTATTCCCAGTCCTTTCATCCTTACAGCTTATGTAATTGTAATATTATTCATCGACCCATCATACTATGCATCGTTCATTGTTGTCAAAACTGCCAATTTTGCTCCCCATGACCTTTGCAAGTATTAATTTCGTTGTGTTCTTCTTTGGCAGAATTATCAGAGACATCATTCAGAATCATCTATTACAGGTAAGAGAAAAAGAACTTTTTTTGGATGCTAGCGTCGAAGCTATTGTGAAAAGAGAGAAGAGCGGTTCCAACATATTGCGATGAGAAATTGTGGAAGTCCCACTGATGTGGGACTCCAATACACCCCCTCCAATGGAGGCTAGACAAACACAAACTGTCCTAGAGTGTTGAATCTTTAGTGGTAGACCTTGGCTCTGATACCAGGAGAGAATATGTGGAGCCTTAGATGACCCTCACCAAAAGATCCCTTGAGGAGAGAAGAGAGGTTCCAACATATATTTTTGTAGAATTTGTCCAAATCTAGCCAGTGTGGGACTCCAACATGCCCCCGCCAACGAATGTTAGACGAACACAAATTGGCCCGGAATGTTGAGTCTCTAGAGTGGTATACCTCGACTTAGATATCATATGAGAATATGTGGAACCATATTAGATTACTCTTCAAAAGAACCCTTAAGGAGTGAAGGGAGGTTCAACATATACTGTAGAAAAATTGTCCAAATCTAGCCAATGAGGTACTCCGGCAAGCCCACTCCAACGAAGGCTAGATGGACTTAAATTGTCCCAGAATGTCGAGAGGGGGCAAGACGAGCACACATTGTTTCCGATTGTCGAACCCCTAGAGTGTTAGAGCTTGGCTATGATACCAAATCCTTTGTAGCAAATAATTTCTTAAACATAAATAAGTTTATGTCAAAATATGTGGAACCTCATTAGATTACTCTCCAAAAGTTGGAGTCGTTGAGGAGAGATGAGAGGTTCTAACATATATTAAGGAGAAGTAATCCAAGGCTGGCCAATGTGGGACTCCAACACTTGAGATGCTTGAAATTAATTTAAAAGCATAAATTCATCATTGTTTCCAAATATAAACAAGCATTAGTAAGAAATCCGTTTCCAATGCAGGTGCTTTGCCTAGTTGCTATGGAGAAGCCCGTTTCTTTGAAGCCTGAGCATGTTCGAGATGAGAAAGTGAAGGTGTATAATTTGACTTTCTTATTAGTCGTTATATCCGTCTTTTACTGTTTGCTCACACTTTTGCACAAGCCGGGGGTCTTTTCTCAAGACAAAGGTTCTACTTTTTATGGGTAGAGGTCACACCCTACATTCGAGTAGGGTATAATGGGTTTGTGTGGTTTTGGTTTGGTATTAATAGTTATATGGTCTTCTTTTGAGAATTCTCTAAATCGTGAGATCTCTGAGAAAAAAGTGCTATTTCATCTGATTTTTTCGTTTATGGCTAGAATTTAATATAGTGATTAATATATATTTGTTTTACAATGTGTTTGTTTCACATGTACTCGGTTCACAATTTGAACCTTTTTGTGAAACAAAAAATATAAGTAAAAATGTTTCATATTGTAAACTGAGTACGTATGAAACAATCATATTGTGAAACAAACATATCGTGAAACAAATATATGTTAATCAATACATTGAATACTATACTTAGATGGAAAAATATCATATGAAACAGAACCTTAAGGTAGAAGTTCTCACGGATCTCACAAATTTTGGAGTTCTCGAATGATTAAGCTCATTTAATTTTACCATTAAGGGTGCGTTTGGTGTCCAGACAGACTGAACAATTGTTCAGCTTTTGGTAAGACAAAATTGGACATGACAGAACAAAACAAGTAAAATGATCAATTTACCCCTGATGAGTTGTTTATGTATTTTGATTAATTTATGTAATTTATTAAATTATAATAAAATAATTATTTTTTATAACAAAATATATTATTAGAAATTTTTGGACAAAAATAGAAAGTCCATGTAGTTTTCAATTTTTATTTTATCCCTTTGTACATTACTTTTTATTATTCATATATAATAAATTACATAGATTAATAAAAAATATAGAAATTCGTATAAAGATAATATTTTGAGGGCAGTAAAATGAAAGTTTAAAAAGCACAAAATACCATAAATAAAATCTATAGAATGAATAAAATGTAAAAATGAGACCTATTTGATGTTTTAGAAAAGAGTTAAGTTTTATTTTGAGGTTATATTGGTAAAATATAAGACTGTTCCACCTTGTTCCATCATGTAGGGGTGGAACAGGCATGTTTCACTTTGTTCCTGTCTGTTCCACATAAAAGTAGTGTCAAACATGGAACAAGGATCCTTCCATTCTGTCCTGTCCATTGTATGAAACGCACTCGTAAGTAATTAATCAGCCAATTAAAGAATCAACCAACTCACTGATCCTTATGTGATTAGGTTCTTCAATCTGTTCTTCCAATTGAAGACAGTGAAGTTGTGCTTGGACAATATGAAGGCTATACCGACGATCCAACAGTTCCTGACAACTCTAATACACCCACCTTCGCAACTATGGTTCTCAGGATTCACAATGAAAGATGGGAAGGTGTGACAAGCTATTGATGTTTTCATGTGTTATTATATTTCTGTCAATTAGGCTTCAACAACCGCAAAATCCTTTTCTCAAAACCTTTTTACAAGCTAGAGGTCTTCACAGAAATCCTATATATGAGATCTTTTTTTGATTTAGGGTTTGTTTGTTAGCAGCTTAATGAGCTTAATGGGACTCGCAGCTTATTTGGTCAGCTATAATGACTGTCTGGTAGTGACTTAATGATATAGAAAGTTTTGCTTATTTCAACAAGCTTCTAGGGGGAACTTTGTGCAGAAAGCCAAGTTTTTCCAAAACCTACCACCTCCCAATTAAAAAACATGCTCCTTCCATCTATGAAAAAACCCTCTCAAACGAAAACCTTCCAAGTTCATACAGATGGATTAATTCACAAACTTGATGGAAAACCAACCAAACTGCCCCCTTAATGTCACTGATGAATTATATATGACATGTTGTAGGTGTTCCCTTTATAATGAAGGCAGGGAAGGCATTGAATTCAAGAAAGGCGGAAATTCGGGTGCAATTCAAGGATGTTCCCGGTGATATATACAAATGTATGCTATGTTCTTTTTCCTCAATTTTAATGTCTCTTTTTTCCCACACTATGCACTATCTGGGGTCTTCACAGAAACAACCGTTTTACTCTTTGGGTGGAGGCCCACCTTCTTGTGCGATATACCGGTTTTGTTTGGTTTGGTCTGGTTTATTAGCGTTTCTTATATATGAAGTGAACTTTAAGCACATTTCCGTCTTTAGTCTTTAGTCTTTAGATGGGGTTTCAGTTAACTTGAGATTAATATATAATTCTACATCCCTTTAGGTAAAAAGCAAGGAAGAAATGAGTTTGTGATTAGACTGCAACCTTCAGAGGCCATGTACATGAAGCTAACAGTAAGTATCCCTTTTCAGCATGTCCTCATATGAGACAGGGGTAAGGTCTGCTTACGTTGTACGCTCCCCGTTTTATGCTCCACGGACCCTGTCTGGGTGGGATGTACTGTTTTTTTCTAATTCTACATCTGGGTGGGATATTCTAGGTTTGCTTGGTTTCTTTAATTCTACATCTGGGTGAGATATACTGGGTTTGTTTGGTTTTTTTTAATTCGACATCTGGGTGGGATATACTGGGTTTGTTTTATTTTTTTAGTTTTAATGCTGGTCTATGATGTAGGTCAAGCAACCTGGGCTTGAGATGACAACGGTTCAGAGCGAATTAGACTTGTCGTATGGGCAACGGTATCAAGAAACCATCATTCCCGAAGCTTACGAACGTTTGATTCTTGACACGTAAGTATCAATGCATATGTTTCTATTTTATTCTACCCTTACGTTGTGTTCTCGAAACCTTTTTTACGATGGAAAGGAAACAGAAAGGGAGGGAAAGGGGAGGAAAGTAAAAAATAACTCATGTTCTCGAAACTTTTTTAGCAGAAAAAGGAAAGGAAACGAAGGGAAAATAATCATATTTTCCTTCCAAACCTGAGAGGAAAGGGAAGGCAAGAATGAAACCCTTTCAAAAGATTACCAACCTTTCAGTACAAAGTATATATTTTTAAAGGGTATATTTGTAAAATGACGTATTTCCTTTCCATTTTTCCCATTTCAAGAATATGAAAAATTATTTTATTTCTTTTCCATCATTTTCTTTTCTTTTCTCTCCAAATTCGAGAATAAAGTGTTTAACTGTGAGAGAGAGAGAGAGAAAGATGAAGATGCGTTAATTCTTCTATTATTAAAGGTAAAATTGTCATTTTGTTAATTAAAAAGTGTAATAATTACACATTTGTAAAACTGTCTTGCCTTTTTCGTAATGAACATTTATTTTGTGACGGAAAAAGTAGCAAACAATATAAAAAGTCAAATAAATAAATAATCACAACGAGGCGTATGCAAAGTAAGGAAACCGACACATCCCTCCGTATAAATAACGATATACTGCTTGTTTCCGAAACTTTTTAACATGTGGCGTTTGATTTCCAGAATACGGGGCGATCAACAACATTTCGTTCGTAGAGATGAACTGAAGGTACGTATAAATCAATCATCTAAAACCGAAATTATACCGATAAGCTTAGATTTTGAGTTTTGACCTCACAATCTAACCTCTTATCGATCAAATTATCAGGCGGCTTGGCAGATTTTCACACCTCTCTTGCACAAAATCGATAGAGGTGAAGTCAAATCACTTCCATACAAACCTGGCAGCCGAGGCCCGACACAGGCCGATCAGTTGGCTGAAAAAGCCGGTTACGTTCAAACTCATGGCTACATATGGATTCCTCCAACTTTGTAGAAGTCGATGGTCCGATAGGAACGTTGGTGTGTCAAATAAGAACGTTATAACGTTCATTATATTGTACGCATAAACTCTAGATACCGGATGGGCTTGTAGTTTTTATACCCGTCGACTATGGGGTGCGATAAACTCGTATTTTGATGCTAATAAGCTGTTCGATGTGAGTTGAAAATGTAACGTTTAATTTGATATGTAATTTCGAGTATTTTTGTATGAATTTTGGATTTATAAAAATATTAGTTTGATTTTGATTTTGATTTAAATGAAAAATAATAATTAAAAGTTGTTATATTTAATGTGATATAAGTCATTTTACAATTAAGGTGATGTTTGTTTTTTAAGGGGTGTTGAAGTATGATTTCACTTTTGATTTTTAAGAGATGGTGTTGAAATTTGAAATCTGAATCAGTCAGACTGTTTGTTTTTACGTTTGAAGTCTGAAATTTAAATCAGTCATATTGGTTATAACAATTTTTGTTTCAACATGGATTTGTATTTCTTTCTTTCAAGGTTTTAATCAAATAACAAAAAAATTCAGAGTTTTCCTTATAGTGGGTGAAGTTGACATCAGTTGTATTATGGAATTTGAATCTATTCCGTTGATTACAATTTTATCATGAGATTCGTTGAAATCAGTTGTATTATGAAATTTGTTTTTAATTTATCAATTAATTTGTGGTTGAGATTAGATTCCACCGTTATCACAAACTAATTAATTCTCTCTTGAATAGACCCTTATATATGTGTGTGTATGTGTATGTATATATATATAGTTGGGTTCACGTGTGATAAAGTTTTTTCATGAGATATGATTTTTATACTTAAAACTTCACAACAAAATGTTGTGAAAGGTAAAAAAAAAAGCCAAATTTTCACAACAAAAACACTATAAAGGTACAATGTTTTGCTGTGAAGTTTCAAGTATAAAAATCTTGTCTCACGAAAACAAACTTGTCTCACATAATATCAAGTCTATACATACATACATACATATATATATATATATATATATATTAATATTAAATAATGATTAAAAAAAGCTAAAAAGGACAAAAGTGGTTTAGAGTTATGAATTGATTTGAATATTTGTTGTGAATTTGGGGGAGACACGAAACACATAACTTTGACGTCACGAAAACTTGATGGTTAGTCGTTGTTGATGTTGGCATCATCAAACTATAAAATCTACGTCTCATTTTGGTTTTAATTTAAATTGGTATTTATTATATTTTTGGAAATATATCCATAAATCATCACAATTAACATGTCCCATTCCATAATAACAACCTTATATTTTTAATTTTGAGCTACGGCTACGGCTACATATACATATTATATATATATATATATATATATATATAGGGTATATTTCTTTTACAACCTTATGCATTTGTACAACCTTTACAACCTTGTGCATTTGTACAACCTTTACAACCCAATTAATTGAGATATTTATAGAAATGWTTGGAGTTCATTTATTATGATTTGAATATTTATGGAATATGAATAGAGTTTATTAATTATGATTAATACTTTATATTATGAAACAATTAATTGATTAAAAATTGAATGGTTGAGGTGAGGGTTGTATAGGGTGTAGGAATGGTAAAGGGTGTAGAATAACATCCCTATATATATATATATATATATATATATTATTTTTAATAAAACAAAATAAGCACAACACGATTTATATATATTATATTTTTGGAAATATATCCATAAATAATGTAGATTATTTGTAAGGAGTTTCTTATCTGTATGGAGTGAGATAATGAAAATTAATGTAAGAAGTCAATATAAGGAGCGCATTATAACATCACTAATGAGCTCCTTAGATTGGCTCTTTAACTGTTGTAAGGATCCAAACATAACCCCCCTTGGACTCCTTAGATTGATTCCTTACATTAATTTTCATTATCTCGTTTCGTACATGTAAGGAGTCCTTACAAATATTATACATTATTTTATTATATACGTATGTACAACATGTCATTTGTATAGTTTGTTTTTATTAGAAAGGAAAAAAAGTAGGACAAATTGCATGGAAAAAAAAAATAACGTACTTTAACTTGATTCCTATTTTGGATAACGTATTTTCAAAACTTCCATTTTGGTACATAAGATATAAAGTTTTAAACATTTAAGTACTCGAGTAATCAGTTGAATAATTAACTCGTTACCATGTTGATATGGCGAGTGATAGGATGAAATTGGGTTGAATAGCAAATAATACCGAGTTGGATACCACATCACTCGCCACATCAGCATGATAACCATTTAAAGCTTCAACCGGTTACCCAGAGACTTAAATATTTAAAACTTTACATCTAATGTATCAAAATAGAAGTTTTGAAATTACGTTACCCAATATAGGAATCAAGTTAAAGTAAATTACTTTTTTATGCAATTTGCTCAAAAAATATTATTAAAGTAATGTATATTTGTTGATGTATAGAGCATGATTGGAGTAGCAATGTATTATTTTGCTCATTTACACTAATTTCAACTTAGAGTTGCTCTTAGAGTATCTTCAATGACTCTTTACATTGGTTCTTTAACTATTGTAGGAAGCAAAATTTATAAAAAAAATGATAATTTTGTCTTAAAAAATAAAAATTATAATATTAAAATAATATATTTTTATTTTTTATTAATGTAGGGACCATGATTAATGAAGTATTATTTTACTCCACATACTAATTTATATATATATTTCACTCTTTACATTAACTTAAATATAGGAATAAGATTAGAGATACTTTTATTTTATGGTGTATTTGGTTTGTAGTATGTGGAACCGAAAAAGAATTGGATTTCATTAATTTATATAAATAATTATAAAAATGATTAAAACTACATTTTTGTTAATCGATTTATTATAAAATAAAATGTTTTTAACATTTTTTAATGTCTTATTTCATACAATCTTACGAAATCTCATGAAATTCTGAACACCACCCAAGGATTATGTAAGATTTCAATTAAATCGTAAGAAGGGATCTGAACTTTTGATCACTTTTAATCTCACATTCACCCATGAATTGCATGAGAATTGATTTGGTACGTCTCGGTGCATCACATTAGTCTTGATCTTTAATTAATATTGATCAAATGATTGTCAGCAAAACTTTCATTCTCATCGAAACACAAATATCTATTATGGTTTAAAAGGGATATATATAAAAATGCCGTATTTAGAAGTTTTGAAAGGAATGGAAGGATAGGAAATAGAGAGGTGAATGGAATTAGAAAAAAAGGGATGAAAATTGGTATCCAATATTTTATGTGTGTATAAGATGGAATGTAACCCTAAAACCAACTTTGGTAATTTTGACCATCCTTCCTTGCCACCACAAAATCTCTCTATCAAGGGAGAGATATGGCCATGGAGCTCTGACTTTGTCTTCTGCTCTCTTGGCTTCCTTTCACCTTTTGCTTCTTCATACTCATCCCATACATACATACATACATGTATATATATCTAACCATCTTCAATGGCAGTCAGATCCATTTCTCAATTTTCTTCGGAATTTTAGATTCTTCATCATCTTCATCCTAATCAGATTCCCCCCCTAATCTAATCCCGATTCTATTTCTCTCTATATTCCATTGATTCGATTCTTATTGTTTTGGGTTTCATCAAGCTCAGGTGTGTTTCGTTCTTTCATTTGAAGCCAAATATCTAAACCCCTTTATGTTTTATTTGATTTACGCTTCCATTCAACTATTGGTTTATTTTTGTTAACAAGTTGGTGGGTGAGAGAAGCTCTTTTGATTATTTTTTTTGAGCCCTAGATTTTTTTGGAATCCTTTTAGGTTCGATTATAGTTTGTCATGGCTGACGATTTCTTCTGCGATCCTAAAGTTTCTATGTTTTCTTCGATGAAGATTGGCGATTGGTATCGAATGGATGATTATGGAGATACAAGTTATGATGATGGTTGTGGTGATTATTTGAATTTGAATTGGGAATGGAAGGAAGTTAGTGAGATTATGTCGCATTCCCAGGATGTTGTTGATGTTTTGCCTTCTGATCCTTTCGAGATGAATATAAATGGTGGATGTACGATGATTAGGGGTTGGATCGAAGAGGTTGATGATGATGATGATGATGATGATGATGATGGTATTGGATGCAATACTTTTCGAAATCGGAAGGATGAATCGGATGGATTGTTTTCGGGATTGAATTTGGTTTGGACAGAAACTATGAGACCAATTGGTGATGAAATTGATATTGAATCTTCAAATGGTTTGTTTTTGTTTGATGGAAGTAAAGAATCTAACCATGGAAAAGTCTTGTATTCAGATTCAATCAACAATGGCTGCCATGATGATGATGATGGTGGTGATCATGATCATGATCTTGGTTCCCCTCCAGATGCTTTGTTTTTTGCTCTTGGTTATCTGGGAATGAGGGATTTGCTTTCTGTCGAACGGGTTTGTAAATCTTTGCGGGATGGTGTTCGAAATGATCCGCTTTTGTGGAGGAGTATAGAAATCGATCAACCATCGGACGAAATGTTTTCGGATGAATCTCTTTTAAGGATGACAAATAGGGCCAATGAGAGTCTTCAATCTTTGAGTCTTGTCAAGTGTTCAAAGATCACCGATAACGGTCTCAAGACCGTTTTCCAGCGAAACCCCGGGCTAACAAAGGTCGGTATATGTATATATATCTATAGAGAGAGGTTCATTTAGGAACGCTTAGGAACTCATGCACCACCTTTTTCTGTGTATTCATGGTAGTTAACGTGATAAAAAATTCATGATGAATAACATGATAAAATATTCATGATGAATATCGTGACAAATATTCATGATCAATAATATTCATCATGAATTCACACAAAAAAAAAATGGTTTCCGGATTCTTTAGTGTACTAAATGAACCTTCCCCTATATCTATATAGATATAGATATAGATATGTGTTTGTATTTACTTGTTGAATTTTAGGAATTTCTGAGGACACGACTTGATAGGAGTTATTGTAGGGGCAAGACTAGGGTAGCAGGCTAGAGGGTTAGTGAGAGTTAGTTGGGTTATTGGAAACGTAAAGCATCCACAATGGTGGACTTTCTCTTTGGAGCTTTGCCAAAAAAGAATGGGACCCATAAGCAAAAAATCTGAGAAATAGGATAGATGTTTGGTCTACATACATCTTATCTTACTCCTAGATCTCACCTCCAGGTACCGGTTTCATTTCAAAGATCACAAATAATGGTCTCAAGACCGTCTTCCAGCAAAGCCCCAGGCTCACAAAGGTCTGTATATACACACACACATTTTTATATATGTAGAGGGTCAGGTTCTTGGGAAAACCGCAAAAAATTGAAAAACTGAGAAACACCTGGTAACGTTTCATCTGGACGCTATGTACATGTGTATAACATGCATACGTGCATAAAAACTAAAAAACAACTTCAATTACTTGTATGTTCATGTGCATACCGTTCAGATTTATGGTTACCAGGGTGTTTCGCAATTTTTTTATTTTTTGAGGGTTTTCTTATGAACCTCCTTATGTGTGTGTATATTCGTTGTATTTACTTGTTGAATTCACCATTATATTTGCCTCGGCTTTAGACATTTCTGGAGACATGACCTGATAGGAGTTATTATTGGTGCAAGACTAGGGTAGCAGGGTAGAGGCTTCTAGATGAGAGAAGGGAGCTAGAGAGGTAGATGGTAGGGAATACGGTTAATGAGTAGTTAGGATCCACAATGGTGGACTTTTTCATCGGAGCTTTTTTTGAAATAGAAACGGGACCCACAATAAAAAAACCCTGAACAAATAGGGTAAAGGTCATGTCTGCATATATCTTATCTTATACCCAGACCTCATATACCGGGCTCGTTTTGATTTTTGGTTTCAGTTTCATAATCTCACAAGAATTAACAATGGTGGATGCAGTTAAGTGTGCTGGGATGCAATGGCTTAAGTGTGGAAGGTTTGCTAAATAACTTAAAATTCTTGAAATCCACGGGCGGAACCGGAATTAAGCGGTTAAGAATTGGTGGGCTGCATACCGTAACGACGGAGCAATACGAAGAGCTGAAAAAAGCGTTATCTTCATCTTTAGATAACGAAAAGCAGCTCGGTTATCCAAAACCACGATTCTATCATGGCGGGCAGTTGTATCTATCGTTAGACGACAACCGTCCGATTGACATAGAAGCATGTCCCAAATGTCATCAAATCCGACAAATCTACGATTGCCCTGCCGAGATTTGTCAATTGAGGCGCGTTTCTTGCAGGGCGTGTACATTCTGTATTCCTCGATGCATAAATTGCGGATGTTGCTTTAACGAACGTGATTATATGGAGACGTTTTGTCTCGATTTCCTTTGTTTGGATTGTTTAGCGCAAATTCTAAGTTTCCCGGATGGCGAAGAGGAGGATATGAGCATTCCTCCGGGTTTCCATCCACAAGCAAGTTATCACTTTTGCCTTTATGGCTAGAAATCACCGATGATTATGGTTTCCAACTGCTTTCTCGACCTCTGGTATGTGCTACGAACTGAAAACTAGATACTAGAATTGTGTCAAAATGAGTAGATCGTTCAACTAAAGTATCGATGAAGAAATTGGAGGTAGATTCTAGGAATGCATCTGGTGTTTCTTGAGGAAATTGGAAGATCTTCTTGAAAAAGAAGGCTGATTTTCAAGATTGGTTCTTTATTCATATGTGAATATAGCAGGAAAAATGGCAGAGTAGTGGCTACAGATGGGGTTGTATGCGTATTACTCGTCGTTATTTGTTGGGATCATTTTGTATTGATTTATTATCGTCACAATAAGAGCCAGAATATGAACAGATTATGGACCCTTCACCATGGTTCATTGATGCAAGACTTTAGGCATGTAATGGGCATATTCATATATGCACTTGTACTCACTTTCCATTTCAATAAATGCCACAGAAATGTACTTATTAGTTTCATATCTATCTATATATATATATAATTTGATGATACTTGCTTTTTATGATATCTATAGCATTCATGTGTTATCTATATTCACTTGACAACACAGGTGTGTCCTTGTGAAACAACAAACAAAGGATTAAGGATTGTTTACTAAACTTTTATCCAGGTAAACGCTTATCAAGTCACATTACTTTATCGGATGCATATAACAAAGATCAAGAATCTTACCGGTAAGAGCGAAGGCAAGGACCGAGATTCTTACCCAGTAAGTGAGGACGACGACTCTTACCACGGTTAGCGTTTACCGGGTAAATTGTTGCGTAGAATACCGTTTTCGTTAACTAAAATCTTATCAGGTAAGTGAATGATAGTGTTGATTTTTGCCGGTAAGCATTTACCCAGGTAAGTGTTAGGTAAACGACCCCTAAATGAGATTTTAGAATAGATGATCTAAAAAGGTTTGGCTTATAGCAAGTAACCCCAAATATGATGCAAACAAGCCAATTTCTTGTGTAGCGTGACTATTTAACACGTTGAGTAAATAAACCGACTGATGTTGAAGAATCAGCGGATGAGTTATGGTTAGGGGTGCGACCCCTTTTATGAGGAGGCACTCCTCCTCAAAGCATTAAGTACTAAAGGCTCATTTAAGAAATAAAATGTTAAATTTTTAGTGTTTTAATCTTTAATATCGGTTTTCATAAGTTTGAAATGATTGGGTATGAAAAGTGTATATGTTAAATTTTGACAGGGAATTCGTTAATATTAGAAAATACAAAGAACATCAAATTGAAAAAAAATCACTCGAAATCAACAAAAAGTAACTAAAACATTTTCTCGAAATCAATCAAAAAACTTAAAAAATCTCTGGAATAGACCAAAAAATTGAAAACCCAATAAAGAGGTAGAATTCGGCTAAAAACACATGAAACTTACGTCTAATAGGCAATCTTGCATCTTACTCAAAAAATCGATTCCATTTGGTAAAATGTATTTATATTCCCTAAATCAACACAATTGACTTTTCTCTCCGTCAAACTGTATTGACTTTTCCATAAGGTCAAATCATATTTAATTTACGGGTATTTGATTCACTTTAAAAGTGCATGTATTTGACAAAAATCCTAGATCGGTACTGAATAGAGTGTTTGTAATATTTTCTCAAACAATTTACTTTCATATTTTTTTGAAGTATATAATATTTATATATGATAAATAGAACAAATAAAGTTGCACACCCACTTTATCTTTGATGAGGTTTAAACCATTAGCTCTTAAAGAGGCAAAAGTCGGTTTGGTATTTACTTTCACACTTTGTTTAAATGCAAAATTGTTTCTAATCTTCCCCAAAAAATTGCATTAACAATTTAACATATTTGTTTTTGTTAAATTCTTTTAAGGGGTTCAAATGCTTTTGGGCATAGTTTGAGGTGCTTTCATGTGAGATATGGACACAAGTAGGGGGGAATTATCTGAAGCTTTTCCGATCTCCGGCGAGCGCGCCGGAGCAATCTGCATGTGGAGCGAAGCGCACGGTCAACACTCGATTCAAAACTATCGACATGTCCGCCTTTCACTGCCACCATTAACAACCGTTGAAGGCTCTCCATATATATATACATCTGCATTCATTAGACCTAGTTTGTAAATTGTAATCCACTATCTCCTCCATCTACATTTCTTCCCTAACCTCTCTGCAGTTTCTACATCAGTAAACATGGTTAAAATTGGAATCAACGGTTGTTTTCTGATCCTTTAACGCTATCTGTGATTTTTGGTTGATGATTTTGATTTTTTGTGCAAAATTTTCAATTAATTTTGGTTTTGTTGTGTACAGGATTTGGAAGAATCGGCCGATTGGTGGCGAGAGCTGCTCTACAGACCGATGATATTGAACTTGTCGCCGTTAATGATCCTTTTATTACTACCGATTACATGGTGCATTTCTCAATCTTCAACAAAAAAAACAAAAATATCATCGTTTCTATTGTTACGTGGTTCAAATTTCGCAGTTTTGGATTGCTCATCTTCCATTTGATCCAATGATTTTGTATATATATATAATGTATTCCATTAGTTTTACATCTATTTGATCTGTTCCTGCTATCAGTTGCAGTCGTATTATATATTGAATAACATATATAGCATTCTACACAATTCTTTTGAATTTTGTTTTCATCCAGATCTACATGTTCAAATACGATAGTGTTCATGGCCAATGGAAAAAACATGATATCAAAGTCAAGGATTCGAACACTCTTCTCTTTGGCGATAAGCCTGTTAGAGTTTTTGGCATGAAGTACGTGATTTCTCCATCCTTGCAGCTCGTCTAACATAAAAATACATTGGTAATATTTTATCTGTTGATTGCAGAAACCCAGAGGAGATCCCATGGGGTGAGGCTGGAGCTGAATTTGTTGTGGAGTCCACTGGAGTTTTTACCGATAAGGACAAGGCTGCTGCCCATTTGAAGGTCTTCATTTTGTTGGTTTCGTAGTTGTAGAGTATTATTCGTTTAACAATGTTATTGTTAGGATATGTGGAACCCTTTGAATTCTCTAAAAGATCCCTTTCACACTAAAATTAAGTGTAAAATCACTTTGGCGACGACCTGAGGTTGCGGGCCACGTTGCCCACATCTTTACGTTGATCGTTAGTATGAAATCACATGTGATTTTGCTCGATTTGGCAGTTTTCGTGTTTTTTATTTAGTTATTGTTCTCTTTTGAACCTCCCTCTATTTAGTTAATGTTCTCGTTTGGACCTTCCTTTCTCTGTATGTCTCTCAATATAGGGGTTTAATGATTTAAGAAATTCCAAAATTTCCGAAATATGTGAGAACTTCTACGTTAAGGTTTTGTTTCATATGAAATTTTTTCCATCTAAGTTAACATATATATTTTTTCATATGTATTCGGTTTACAATCTGAAACTTGTTTACATGTATTTTTTGTTTCACAAACATGCAAAAAAGGGTCATATTGTAAATTGAATACATATGAAACACATATATTGTGAAAAAAATATATGTTAATCACTACATTAAAGTCTAGCTATAGATATGATGAAAAAAAAATCATATGAAATAGCACATGATGTACTGGTTCTCAGAGATCTCACGATCTAGGGAGTTCACAAAAGAAGGTCCCGCTATATATAAAAATATTAATATATGCATGTTTAATGGTTCGCGTCTGGCCACTTCAACAGTTATCATTGTTAAATTCTTGCACTTTTAATGCCAGTGAAAATATATGTATTGATGGTTTCTTTGTTTGCTTATTAGGGAGGTGCAAAGAAGGTTGTCATCTCTGCTCCAAGTGCAAATGCTCCCATGTTTGTCATGGGTGTTAATGAGAAGGAGTACAAATCTGATATCACCATTGTCTCTAATGCTAGCTGCACGACTAATTGTCTTGCTCCACTCGCAAAGGTTGAATTGGTTACAATGTGCTTGTTTTCATAAATGTTTGAAATTGAATGACAGTGCCCCTTAAACTTCTTGCTTGTTTATATGCAGGTTATTCATGACAAATTTGGTATTGTTGAAGGACTTATGACCACTGTCCACTCCATCACGGGTTAGCATACGCTTTTATACCCTTTTACTACAGGGCTGGGGCGGACCTATTAGGAGTTGAGCGAGCTCCTGTGCACCGCTCACTCGATAAATGCAAAAGAAAAAAAAATTAGGCATATGAAAGGTGCAGCTGCTTGTTTTGAGGGGTGGCCCTTAAACCTATAACAGCAATTAAACACGGGTAGGATGATTGGATTACTACTCCACATGCAAGAGGTCATGGGTTTGAATCTTATTTCAAGTGAAAGTTTAATTTTTTATTTTAAGATCCAGTTCTTGCCCAAAGCATTAACTCAGGCCCTTCAATGCTATTTCTAAGAATATTAACAGCAAAATATAGTTAGAGGAATCGAATCAACAACCTCATGTACAATTATAAGCATTACTACGACTATGCCAAGACAGATTTTTGTCAATTTTTCTACCACTTTGATTTTATTATTCTTTTTCATGATTTATTTTCCTTTCCGATGTCAATTCATCTTAAAAAAATCGTCGTTTTTTATCTCATTTTCAAGGAAACATATATTTAATTAAAAAAAATGAAGGTCGATCCAGTTTGAGAAATTTTATTTTATTCTCCAAATCGACACAATTGACTTTTCCCTAGGTCAAACTGGTTGACTTTCCGCCTGGTCAAACCTGATTTTGCGGAACTTTGATCCACCTGTGCACCCGCTCAGAAATTCCTGGGTCCGCCACTGAATGTAGGGTTATATTGATTATTGAATACTGCCTAACCAATTCTTCCATATCATTCAGCAACCCAGAAGACTGTTGATGGTCCATCAATGAAGGACTGGAGAGGTGGAAGAGCTGCTTCTTTCAACATTATTCCCAGCAGCACTGGAGCTGCCAAGGTATGGAACACATTAAGGCTATGTTTGACAAAGTGACTGATAAGCTAGTTGTTAGCTGATAAACGAATCACGTTTGATAAAGAAATGGCTAACATTTATGGTTGTAAGAGACGACCTAAACTGCTGCTGATTGCATATTTCTTTAATTATGGGGTGAAATTGTAGTGTTAGAATGCAAATGTATCATTACTTTTCCCCTGAATCAATTTGGTTCTTTGTTTTTGAAGGCTGTTGGAAAGGTTCTGCCTGCACTTAATGGCAAACTTACAGGGATGGCTTTCCGTGTTCCTACCGTTGACGTCTCGGTGGTTGACCTTACTGCCAGGCTTGAGAAGGGTGCGTCCTATGATGACATCAAGGCTGCTATCAAGTAAGAGCCGCACATTATCTTTTTAACTTCCGTAACAAATTATTTTTTGGGATAACCGATATGAGCACGTTGACTAATCCCATAGAATATGAAGTTAGAGCATCTCCAATAGATTCTCTAAATGGAGAATCAAAAGTCAAAATCTCTAAAAGAAATTTATATTCATCTTCAACAGTTTCTCCATTTTGAAGGTTACAATATCCAATTATATTATTAAAATATTCAAGAACTTTCATAAAATATAATCTCTCTCTCCAATATATTTAGTTTCAAGGATTCTCATTGGTAGGAAAAATAAAAAACAATTTCTCTTTTATAGGTAATTAATTCTCCGGATTTGGAGAATTTCACCTTCTCTTTCCTACTTTCACCATTTTGGAGGATCTGGTGGAACAAAAATCCCCAAAATCTCCATTTTGGAGAATCTATTGGAGATGCTAGGCAAACCTATGATGGTTTTGGAGACTCGAACAACCCAAGGCATCTCCAAAAGATTCTCCAAAATGGAGAATTAGAATTCAAAATCTTCAAAAGGAATTACATTTAACTCCAATAGCTTTTGTATTTTGAAAATTACAACGTTAATTATAGCATTTAAAATGTTCCATACATATAATAAACTATTATTTCAGTCTTCTAAACATTAAATTTGAAGATTTCTTATTGGTGACATATAATAAAAAAATTATTTAATCATTTTTGGGGAGTTATTCAGATTCAGATAATTTCACGCCCTCTCTCCTACTTTCTCCATTTTGGAGGATCTCTTGGAACAAAAGTTGTTCAAAATCCCATTTTTTTCTATTTGAGAGAATCTATTGGAGTGCTTTAAGGCTTTCGCAACAAAATATGCTTTAGTTATAGGTGGAAATGGGAGGACCTAGACAATGGACATTACCTTTGTTGTTAGGCCCTTATACGAGTATTTGATCAATTCACTTTTTCTTGAGGTAGAGGTAATGTATGTGTACATCTCAGTCCCTAAACCCTACCTCTCTGTGGGATATACTAGGCTCGTTTGGTTACCGTTTCTTGGATTGTTATGTCGTCTAGGGCCGAGTCGCAGGGAAGTTTGAAGGGAATCCTAGGTTACACCGAGGATGATGTTGTGTCAACGGACTTTGTGGGTGACTGCAGGTAAGAGCCCTTTTACTAGATTTACTTGTAACAAGCTACTTAAATAATCAGAAATAGTCGCCCTACCCTTGGGGGGGGGGAAGACACTTCTTTATGCATCTAACCACTCGCGGACCCCACTTCCAGTTCGATATACCTGGGTGGTTCAAGACATGTTTATTGGTTGACATTCATTAGGGATACGAGGGGAACCAAACACGATCCAATCATTCATTGGATGTTGGATTTTGTCAACCGGTCCGATTCGATTAACATTGGACAACCGATCAAATCCAATTCAAAGGATTATCGGATCGGTTCGGTGCCATCCATTGAATCGAATTGGATTCATCCGACATTTAATGTGTTATTTGATAATTTTCCAAAATGAAACAAATTGATTAGTCACTTTTAATGTGTTAAAACCAACACAAGTGAGGCTAAAAATTCAAAAATCAACACAACAAATTCCAGTTTAAGCCAATCAAAAACAAATTAATTGGATAACAGTTTGATGGATAACTGGATGGTTAATTGGATGTTGGTCGTTTCGGTTCGGTCGGTTTTGGACTGCCATCCAAGAACCAACCGATCCAAATTAATGTTGAAATTTTCAATCCAATCCGATCCAAATTTTCGTTTATCTGTTCCAAATGGATGAGCTGACTTTCTGCATAACCTTCAAACTATTTCTTTATTCCGAAAGATTTATTTATATTTGTCACAATTAACAGATCTAGCATATTCGATGCCAAGGCTGGTATCGCTCTGAACAACAACTTTGTGAAGCTTGTTTCTTGGTATGACAACGAATGGGGATATAGGTATGCTTTCTTGCTGTTAGAGTTAACTTCGTTTTTCATCAGTGATTTGTTGGAAATTGCTTTTTTGGTTCCTGTGGTTTCCAAATGATCCCGCTGTTCAAGGACGAAAACCGTAATTATGAAAGCACATGAAATAAGTCGCACTTTTTAACAAACCACAGGAACAGAAAATCACAGTTCACTTGTTAATTCACATAGGCTAGTTAGTTATTGAACCATCATTTGTAACACAGGGGTCTGTATGGAAACAATTCTTCTACATTGTAAAGCTCATGTTTGTATACATCTCACTATAGACCCTACTTACGAGTGTGATATACCGGAATCGGTTGGTTTGGTTTGGTTTATTAGTAACATGTTTGATTTGGTTGTATTGCAGTAACCGTGTGGTTGATTTGATCCGTCATATGTCCAAGTCTTGAGCAGTTGATGACATGTTGGATGCAAGGATGATTCAGCTCTCCATCGTTGTTGAGGTGTTTTAGGAATAATCTGAGCTATTCTAGTTTCGGCTTTTTTACGTCAACTTTTTTTCTCACAATTTTGAGTGAAATGCAATGGTTTTTTGAAATCCAACAAGTTAATGGTGAAGCTTGAACTTTTGATTGACCAAATAAAATAAAACAAAATTAAATGTTTAAGAAACCTTTTTAAAATAAACATTTAATTTTGTTTTATTTGGTCAAATCAAAATTGAGAAATAATTGAAGTCATGCCGCAAAATAGAGAGAAGAGAGATAATAAATATTACTTGAACCATAAAAAATTAATAGTATAGTGGCTTATTGATTTGTTCGGTTAATCGATTTGTCTAATCTGAAAACCGAATAAGCCGAACCTCGTTTGATTTGAATTAGACCATTCGGGTTTCGTTTTTCCCAACAAACCCCGAGTCACGTATATTTTTGGAATGAATCCATGTCTTTTTCAGGGAATTCAAATCCAGATAAGATATGAATAAAGATTTCCATTAGATTCATGACCTACTTTCATGAATTTAATTAAGATCTTATTTTTAAGGTTGTATATGTACTTGAACGACTTGTTTGTATGATAATAGTTGATGAAAATAAAAGGTACACGAGAATAAAAGTCATGGGTTTGAGTAATTTGTATGTGACAAACACGTCTGTTTATTATGTAGATTGTGCCATTACCAATCAATGCTAAAGCAAAGTGTAGACAACATGTGTTAGAATCATGAAATCGAATTGCATCATAAGATCCAGAATCAACTTGTAAAACTTGAAAGTAAATGCTCATAGAAGTTACTCTTTCCAACTTGTAAAATACCTGTAAACGGATAATTGTATTGTGCAAGAATCAAGCTGCCATCAACACCCAAATCCACTTGGCCTTCAACCTCCCTGTCATCATCAGAATGAGAAACCATTCAATACCATGGGAATGCGAACAACAGCAAAACACAACAATCAAGACTTGCTTGGAACAAATTATATCACAAAAAAGACCAGGCTCCCGAAGCCTGCTCCAGGCCAGGCCAAAAATTTGGGGGCAAGCCTGGCCTGATAAAGCCCGCTTAAGCCTGATCTTTTCAACCCCAAAGCCCATGCCTTATTTTGCTTGCTGGAAACGGGCTTGGAAGGTCTGGGACTTGTGCATTTCTAATCCAGAATCCCCCTTGAATGTAAAAAAAAAGGGTATTCGCCACCCTCTGGAGCACCGCCACTGCACTAGTCACACAGTCATTGGCAGAGGGGCAGTGCCTGGGCTTGAACCCAAGACCTCACGCTTCTAACCTAGGAGAGATAAGCAGGGACCCCCTTAAATGTATCAATTGTGAGAATGGGCTGTGACCCCCCCCCCCACCCCAACAAAAAAGAACTTCTATATCTTTACAACTGTTATATATTGTTATAACCTATGTTATATAATAGCAATTTCTGCCAAATGGCTAACTCATTGTATAGCAATGGCAATTACACAGAAACAAGAACATGAATCAATATATTCTTGAGGTTAATTCATTTAGTCCATTTCATTTCAAACTATTTCTCATTCACATTGGTCACATGATTTGAGGATTTGTGAATATTGGATCCATAAAATGGAGAAATAATGGAAATAACTGATTTGACTGATTGACGCATGCATCCAAATGTTTTGTGCTCTCGGACTGTTCATTCAATGATCACCATAGCAAAAACAACAGATGATCTGATAGGAATGGCTGCCACATATTAATTGATGACATCCACATATCAAGTACAAGAGTCGAGAAATAAAGAGATAAAAGGTGCAAGAAGATTATTCAAGATATGGCCCTTTACGTAAAAGGCACCTTCAAAGACATGAAATTTCTATTAGGTAGCTTCATCTAGCTCTAGCATTTGATCATTTAATTTTGCATTCAACATTCTAGGTTGTGTTCCTTTTCATCATCCAAAAGCTCTATGCCCACCAATAAAATGTTACCAATGATCGCAATCATTCTAGTATATTCAATGGAGTTTAAAATTTGACTTTTTGGATAGGAGGCTTTCATTTGTCATGCAAGAATTCATGTGGTTCAGATCCTAGAAATGCCAAAAGTGATCAAACTTCTGGAAGTTGAATGGTCCTAGCTCAATTTGGAGTATTTGGATAGCATGCAACATAGCTTCACCCAATTGACAATCTAAAATTCTAGATGCCGGTTGGTAGTGATTTCATAGATAAAACAAAGTGTTTCAACCTCGTCAATAGTAAGTTTGGAAGTTCTTAACCATATGGGATTTAGTTCTTCAATGTAGCTGAATGACTTCAACAGCATTACGCATTGCCTCTTTGTAACTAGTCATCACAATTCATATCTTATGTCCAAGAGCTTCCATCAAATGGTCAAAGCCAATTGGTTTAAGATCTTAGACATCACTGTGCACTCCTCTCATTTGTAAGAAGCTTCAACTTTGTTAAAGTCTTTCGTATATTAATGGAAGTTTCTTTTGCCAAAAACAGTACACATTACATGAAGTTACTACAAGTTTAGCAACAAATTTCCATCCAAGAATTCTACGTCCACAGCTTCAAACATTTTTAAAAGAATAAAATGCCAAGTATTGTCATTTGTCGGGTTAAAAATTGAAAAAATAAGTCACTGAGGAACCCAATCAAGAGGCAACAAGTTAATCAAACAGTATAGGCACATGAATTGCTGTCATATGAAGCAATCAAACAAACAATTACACAATAAGAAAAGTAAATGTTTGCAGGTTCAGAATTGGTTTTCATACAACTATATACTTCTATATGCCCCATTTTAACAGCAATTACTTATCTATTGTAATTTTATAGCTGTAAGCAACAGTTGTTCATGCCTCGACAATTAAGATATCCTAGTCGAAGCATATTCGGTATTTCAATAAATGAGAACTAAAGTGATTTAGCACCTGAACTGAGCTTGATTTCAATTTAAAACAAGCGATCTAGCTCATCATACAAATTCGGAAAATAGTTGTAGGTTGTAAACAACTAAGAAATGAGAAAACAGTTATCATCCACATAACTAAAAATGGAGAGTGGAGAGATATGTCTAGTTATCCAAAGATATAGGGTAGAATAAAACTAAAAAGAAGAACAGTTGGCATACTTTACCCATTTAGCGCGCAGGATTAAGCCCTAGAAGCATCTGGCTCCCGGTGTTCGGAAGATACATCACATTGTTACTCCTGGCCAAAGTTGAAGAGATCTCCCTCGATGCCTCAATTCTCCTAAGTTCGATCAATCCCATCCCAGCAGCAGACGTAGCATCAGAAATCAACTTAGCGGACTCACTCTCTCCTTCAGCCCTAATAATTGCAGCCCGCCGCTCCTGCTCCGCCTTGGCAACAACGAACTTAGACCTCTCAGCCTCCTGCTGCGCCACCTGCTTCTGCTCCACGGCCTTCGAGAACTCCGAGCCATACGATAGGTGAGTGATGGCAACGTCGTCAAGCATAATATTGAAATCACGAGCCCTACGAATCAAGCTATCACGAACCAAGGCCGAAACCTGTGGACGCTCGGTGAGGAGCTGATCGGCGTTGAATTGAGCTACAACAGCTTTCAAAACTTCGTTTCCAATCGACGGAAGAACCTTCTCATCGTACTCAAGACCTAAAGTCTTAAAAATGGCCGGCAAACGGGTAACTTCAGGCCGAGATAAGACACGTAGGGTTAGGTTAACCATTTGGAGATCCTTTGTGCCTGAGATCGAGGAGAATGTGTGAGGCCTGGTACGTATATCAAAAATATATGGCGTCTGGAGCCATGGAATGAGGAAATGAGTGCCTTCACCAACAGTTTCGTCAATGACACCACGAAAACGATCGAAGAGAACGGCCCGCTGGCCACCATCGACGGTGTAGAGAGCAGAATTGACAACCGTGGCAGCAGTTCCAATACCGAAGGCGGCGCGTGCTAGATTAGTGAGGAACGTAACGGCGGATGGATTGGTGGCCATTTTTTCCCGGCTAAATTTGCAGAAAAACCGATCGGCGAACGAGGGTTTTACAGCGAGAAATAGATGGAGGGTTTTACAGGTGTGCCTGTCTTGTTGTCCAAGCGAACTATCGAACTAAGCGAAGCCACTCAACTCAAAACCCAATTCAAATGAGGCCCAACTGAAAGCCCAATTAAATCAGGCCCAAGTGAAAGCCCAATTAAATTAGGCCCAAGTGAAAGCCCTATCCATTATTGTTCATTTTTTTTTAATTCTAGTTTATTATTTATTTATTTATTAACGAATTACAGAAAATCCCGAGCCCGAACCTGTCCTTGAGCCTTGTAAGCTCGAGCCTAGGGTGAGGTACAGCCTTAAAGCTCGATCAGGCCAAAAAAATTTCTAGTAGATGATTAAAGTCGGGCCTGAAAATGTCTGTTAAGCTCAAAAGTTAAACTATGAAAAGCTTGATCAAGACCTCTTTCAGTACTAAAGTTCGGTATGACTCGGACTTTTTTTGGTTTATTGAGTGGGATTGGAAGGCTCGAGGCTTCTGCATCTCTAATGCTTCATTAAAAACACACGATGCATGTCAACGTGGGGGTCAAATGATTTAAATACGAGCAATCATTTACAGCCTTTTCGGTTATACTATCGGTATAAAATTGAAAGCTACTTAAATTTGCTTATGCACAACATTTATATGTGTATGTGTTTACGTGCGTACGAGCATGTGAAAGTTCAAAATGGGAACACCTTTATTTTTAGGAAAACGTAAAAATTCCCTTATAACATGTGGTAATACATGTAAGGGAATCTAGCAGGGTTAAAAAGTACATGTCCCAAATCTTCATGTCTCATTCATATCTATTAATCATATGATTACATATAAACGGAGAGAGGAAGTAACCACAAGGGTGGTGTCTGATTGGTTTGAGCATTGCTCCAAATGTCAAAAATACCAAGAGGTCTTATGTTCAAATCCAAGGAGAAATAAAAACCCCCTTGTGGCCATGGAGGTTCAAATGCGGTGACTCCAGACTATCTGCAAAACAGATGGTCGCCCTAGGATTAGTCAGCTCGCATAACGAGTTGGATATTCATATTAATAAAAGAAAAACAGAGAGAGAAAACAAACATGAATTAAATGAATTTAAAATAAAGAAAAATTGACGTCTCTTAATTTCATGGGTTGTATAAAGTTGATGATAAGGAGGGAAGAGTAATAGTAAGGAATAGGGATTAGGGGGAGGGGGGGACATGCCCTTTTTATATATGTGATTAAGCCCCCATGTGAAAGGGTAGCTTTACAAGTACTATTTCATAGTGGAGGAAGCTAAAATTATCACTTCAATTATTATTGCAAAAAGCATGATATCACTTCCCATCCCTTTATTTATCTTTTTCAATAAGCCATTTTGCTTAAATGTTTCAATGCTAACATTTCAATTAAGTTAACTAGCATATTCAATTTTATATTTTTATAAAAATATTTTTATTTTTATTTTATTTAATATGTATTTTGAATTATCTTACATGTCCAAAATCGATTACATGTGAAATTTGGATGTGATGGTAGAAAATAAAGAGTGCTACTTAGAATAAAGGTGGATATCACATGGTGACATTTAGGTCTCTTCTTTGTGGGTGTGGTCCATCTCTCATGCATTTGTCTACACCAAGCCTCTCATCTTTCAAATACCGTTTTTTAATATATATATATATATATATATATATATATATATATATA